AATCGTTCTCAGTGGCGCAGATGCATCCACTCCCTGTGACTTATGATCTTCAATGAAACTGTTTTGTATTTCTTTATTACTCCTTTGTCTCACACCTCTGCTCACTGTTTCTATTATGCTTTTCTTGTACTTTCTTCTCTTGCTTCGCGTGCTACACGGAATGTGGCGACTTGAACTTCCGCATATTTGTGCAAAGTTCTATGTCGAAAACAGACAGACAGACAGACAGAAAGAACCATAAGTTTTCTGTTACAGTTCTTCCTTCCTGATATTTCTGCATATTGTTTTTCATTTGAATCCTTTTTTTCTGGTTTGCTCTCCTTTGTGTGCCACATGGAGTGTGGCAATCGGAACTACTTTACTTCTGTGCAAAGTTCTATGCTGAAACCAGTCGATCAGTCAGTCAGTTAAAAATGCCTGAGTGGCAGATTGACGGATAACTTGTTGGAATTAACTAATTCCATAGGCACTGAGATTTCTAGAAATTTGTTTATAATTCACTTGACACAATGTTTCCGGAAACTGTTTGAATTGTTAGGTGTAGTCTTGCGCAATCAGAAAGGGTTGACAACTAATTAGTTGAGTGGTGAATGATCCTTTGGACATGGTTAGCGTGAGACAAGAGAACAAAAGATTGAAAATGACTTGGGGCTTATTAAAAGAGGCTGGATTAAACCTTTCTGAACACAAAGTCTAGACTTATCCTTAATGATTGTTAGGGCTGTAGCTGTATGAGAATGTAGGCAAATTCCTTTCGAGCGACTCTGTTGTACTTTATATATGACTTTGAAAGAAGTCTGTGCTGATGCTACATGATAATGAGTAATAATATGATCCAACATTGAACTGTTGACTGTTGTGTATTCTCCTTTTGACAACCATGCTAGTAAGTGTTCATGAGCATGTCTAGACAATGCCCTACTTGTACGACCTGTGTTCTCAGCTCCACATGGGCAAGTGAATTGGTCAATATACATTAAAGTTGTCAACAGCGGGATCTTGTCTTGGGCGTTTTGGTGACTAAGAGCATGTGTAGCGATGTAGCAGAAAACGTTCTCCGAATCGTTGTCGCCAGGCGGCTTCGAAGGACCTCACTTATTGTGTCTCCCTTGGATTTTAGATTTAAAATTAATTATTTCTTCGGCACATCCGGGTTTCGAGGAGTATCAGTCTTCCTCTTCAAATATTTACTGATGATGTTTGCATATCCAATTTTGATTAGTTTTTTCGAAGGATTCCAATTCCTTATTCAGTGCGTCTTCTTTTCGCAAGAGATACAATGAGATTTCTTATTCTGCTTATTGTGACAAAACTGTAATCGATTGGGCGAAGAAATATATTCCTTTTCAATGAGTTCCCCATCATCCATTGTCTGTACACTAGTATATAGTTTTTTTTTTTACATCAAAATGTTTTACCAGTCAAGTGGTTATTTGAGTTAGTTTTAGGTATAAGCGGGGGTGAAATCAGGAGGTCAAAGGTCATCAAAACAAATAACTAACAGATGTTAGTAACAAGATTTCTAAGTTTTAAAAGAGCGATGAGAATTAATTACTGAATTCAAGATAAGTTGATTCTTAGGCGTTAGCAACAAGTTATTACATAATCAAGAAATTTGTAAAATTGCAATGCTGACTAAGAAGAATAAGACGACTCAGAAGAGTTACGTAAACTACAAACTAGTTAGTAGAATTAGCTAGAATTTGAAAAAGTGTAAAAATTAACGAAGTCAACAGGTAGTTAAAAGGGGAGGAGAAAATCGTTTTTAAAAACTTAACACATGTAGTTGACCATGACAAAGAAAGAGGCTGTACAAGTTTCTTTACCTTGTTCAGATGAATTCCGATTGCCTATGTTGTATGTGAAAGTCGTACTTGTAGACCATGCGAGAGGTTGGCTGATATACGATAAATAACTGTAAGAGCTTTATTAGAGTTGATTTGATGTCCAGTATCGACGAGATGAGCTAGTATTAAGCTGCGTATAGCTTTATTTGATTCGAACCTTTGCTAGACTAAGATGGAAGGTGTTCAGAAATTCGACGATGAAATTGCCTGATCGTACTCCCAATGTAACTGACTCCGCTGGGGCAGTTTAACTGGTAAATACACATGGAAGAGGCGGAACAGAGAAGTCTGTCTTTATTTCTTGAACTAAGTATTGATCGGCTAGTGAATACACAACATAGCCTAGCTGCATAGAAAGTCCTTTTAAAGACCCTTCTCAGATGTGATAATATCTTGCTATTGAGATCACCCGTGAATTGTAACCTTAGGAAGAATGACTTTTCGGGGGCAGTCGGCAACTTCGACTTTTTACTTTCTGAGTTTACATGTTTGTTTATGAATTTAGTTTGATATACGTTTCTACTAAGTAGGCTGCTAATATTGCCGAGTTCTTCGTCCAGTGTCTCACTTAAACAGATAACTCTAGCCCGATGAACCAGGCATCTAACCAGATTACGTCTGTATTGTAGAGATGCGAAGCTCAGGAAGTGAGTATATTGTCCAGTGGAGGTAGGTTTTCTACACAAACATGTAAAAAACTATATATTAGTGTAGAGCCTATGATGAGGAACTGATTGAAGAGGAATATATTTCTTCGCTTAGTCTGTTGTTTTTTCTAAATGCGTAAATGGGAATTTGGAAAAACTGTGATAGTTTTTCGGCTATACATTCCATTATGGCTTCCGTCAGATTGATATTTGTAGGCTTCCATCTGATCATCTTGTAAGCCGGAGATCTAGGGAGGACAATTTACGTTCTGATTCCGCTTCAATTTTTTGAACTCGGCTGACTGATTAACGTTGTTGGATATTTGTAAGATTTCGTTTAGGTTAGAATTTTCATCGATGATAAAGATATCATCCATATTATTATTATTATTGTCCCCTTGGGTTCCTAGTGGAACATAGGGCTTCAACTGCCCGTCTCCAATTGCTTCTGTCTTCTGCTGTGTTTTTTTTTTTTACTTGCATTCACGTTAGTCCGTACTGTCTCAACTCCTCTTCACACGATCTCCTCCATGTCACCCTTGCACTGACGTCCCACTCGCCGCTTCCCTTTCGGTCTGATTCCACTCGAGCGATGGCCTGACGCGCGCGATGTCACCCAGCGGCCTCCTCAGCGAGTGTCCAATCCACTCCTGTCCACTTTCTCCTGCATATTTGTTGGGTGATTGGTTCTTGTTTTGTTTGTTCTCCGCCATAGTTTCTTGTTGGTGATTCTTTCAGGCCTGGCCATCTGATCTTCATTATAGAGAGATAGTTGACAGTTGTTGATAAAGGTCTGCAACAGGCTGTTGGAAATATTCTCTGTGACCCGCCCGCCAAGTCTCTGATCCGTATAGAAGAACCGACTAACTTGACTTTTGTATTGAAAATCCGACCGAATTTTGTGGTCGATGCTAGCTGAGTGACGAAGATCTCCAGATTGGTTTCAGTTGATTGATGAATGTGTGTGTTCTTGCCTTCGCGAATCTCGCTCGATTTGACATCCTCGTCCGTTCCGACTGCCTGTATTTGAGACAATGCTCCCTAGATAAGTGAAGTGAATGAAGTGACCTCTTTCAAATCCCTCCCATTGATGGTGATTGGCGCTGGATGTTTCTGCTGTTGCTGTTGTTGGCTGGTTATTTTCATAACCTCCATCTTGTCTATGTTCACGTGGAGTCCTGTCTTCGCCGGCTGCTTCTTTGACCAGTTTGTCGGTTTTCGCTTTTAAGTCTTTGATTTTGTGTGACATCAAACATAAATCATCCACGCGCGAAATCCAGGTCTTCTAGATTCTTCACTTCGGTCCAGGTTATATCATCCATATACTGCTTGTAAACTGCGAATTTTTTGATTGTTGGCAGAGGATACTTGACTCAAGGTGTGCCATAAGGGAATCAACAAACAATGGACCAAGTGAACAACCCTTTACTATTTCATCTTTTTGTTGGTATATTCGACCATTGAACAAAAGGTGAACGTTGAGTATGCATCTCAGGATTAATTCCTTGATATGTTTAGAGGTATACCGACGTTCAAATTATTTGAATCAATAAACTTACTTAAGGTAGCATTCAGTTTCACATAAGAGGACATTAGTGAATAGGGGGATACTACGTCCAACGGAGTCTTCATAGTTAACCCAGATACATACACTTGACTAACTGAATCCACAAATTCAAACGTATCTTTCAGTGGGAGTTTCTGCTAGCCATCGTGCTATAGGATAACAGAGCGATATTCGACATCTAATAATAACAGCTTTATTCTGAGCAATGTTTATATAATGTACAGAATTTTCAATTCCTCTGGGATATTGAAATCTAACATTAATTGACAATAGATTGTGTGACGACACGGTTCTATCTAACCTGGAGCGCAAACCAATCCGTCATTATGATATCTCTTCTTTTTCCCATTTGAGAAATACGTGACAGTTTGTTGAATACCAGTTATAAAAAGTGCAGGAATACATTTTGTGAACCAAGGATACCACTCAGGAAAAGTTATCTCATTTATTGGATAAGGTGAGACATTCAGGATAATGCTTCTTCTTATGTTTAGTAGAAACTTGAGAATCAGCAGGCTGTAAGTGTTTTGAATACTCGCCAAAGTAAATAATACTATTAGATAATCCTATTTTCCACGATATAAACAAACTGAATAAGAGAATTTATATGCAATATATACTGATGGAAGTTTTCGTTAGCCCAAGATTTAAGCAGGCCACTAAATTATTAGGATTGTACGCAGGTGTACCGCTTCACCATAGATTTTTGGAAAGCCATTTAAGCGTAAGCGTAAGCTGGACGAGACGATTTTAGTACTTCATAAGTCGGTGAGCTAATTATCGAGTCTTGTTTCACTAGAAGAACAGCTATGAAAGCGTATTTCTGTACAGCCTATTGTCGGTATATCAGATTATGAATTCTCAGGGAATTTTTTTCATGTTTATATGCATTGTTGTGCATATAGTTTGGAAATGTTTCATTTTTGTTTCTCTTGTCAGGTTTAATTGACGAGTTTCAACGAAAAATAGAAGATATGGAAAACGAGAATTTGAATCTGAAAGGTATGTGATAAATAGTAGTGTCTATTTCATTGAAGTATTCTATTCCACTTGTAGGATGTATTACTGATTGAGTAACGAGTTGAACATGTCTCACATACGAATGGTGTTCACTAGGAGGTGGATTTGAGTGATATGACTGTTAGAACGCCCTTTTTGTTCCTTCATTTCCGAGTCAATGAGTACTGCATTCAGAATAAGTATGTTGCGTGCGTTGCTCTCTACCCCAATTTCGCTAACCGCATGTATGAATGGGTGATACATGAGAATAAATTCTTTGTGTATTATGGACTACGCTGTTATGGATGGAATTTCATTATGATTTTTTTTCAGATAGATGTCTATATTGCATCTGTCCAACTGAATGTCATCATATTGATACTCTAACGGATTAACAGTGTGTGTTGTCGTAAAGGAAGTGTGTAGTGCATAATGAGAGAGAAAAAAACAGAATTATTGATATAATTATGGGGAATAAATTGTTTTCGAAACATCGTCCAGTTGTCAATGCTGTAACAGTGTGTTGTGTAAAAGGAGCTTATCTATTATGAGATATAACTGCTCTTTAAAATTCTTTGTTAGACGTGGGTGGGAATACGATTCATATCTACATCCTCGTTGTTATATCAAAAAAACCCAGTCAGAGTGAAAATATATAGCCACCTCTAACCACCATTTTAAACCGGCGATAGCATTGACGTTCAGGCTTTGATTATTTCCCTCAAAGAGCTTGAAGCAGATTTATGGATAACGTGTTGGAAGTAATTAGTTTCAAAGGTACTGAGATTTCTAGAACTATGTTTATAGTTCACTTGATACAATACTTACAGAAATATGCAATAAAATCTTGATCTAAGCTCGTATTGGATTTTATTTCTCTTCATTCCTTTCGTCGATGTTCACGTACCACGTGAAGAAGTGAACTCTTGATAGGGACTAAGTCTTCCGAATATTGTTACCCATGAACTGATATGTGTAAGATTAGACAGTGTCGTAGAACCTTGGATATAAGATTTCATCCATGATGTGCCACTCTTATCAACAATTCACGAGAAAGTAACTAAAATTAGGGGAAATGTAGAATGGGAAAAACAGTAAGACGAGTATTGATGTGGGTGTTTAAATCTCGATGATATAGTTGAATGCAATCAAAAATATCCAATACAGTCCTACAGCTGGTCAGTTGCGAGCCTGAATAGCTCAGTGGTAATGTCTCTGACTGTCGCCCTCACTAGGTGACATGGGTTCGAATCTCAGTAGGGACATGAGTTCATTCAAGGTTGCAGATACGCCTTGCCGACTGGTGAGTGGTAACTAACATGAAACCTAGGTCCAAGGCCTCCTGTGACTGATTGCCTCCAACCATCTAATACCAACATTTCATAGTTCAATGTGCTTAAAAAACTGATTTTTACCGGTTTATTATGAAACAGCTATTAGGAGATCAGCAATGGAAGTGTATTTCCGTACAGCCTATTGTCGGTATATCAGATTATGAATTCTCAGTGAATTGTCTTCATGTTTATATTGCATTGTTGTGCATATAGTTTGGAAATGTTTCATTTTTGTTTCTCTTGTCAGGTTTAATTGACGAGTTTCAACGAAAAATAGAAGATAAGGAAAACGAGAATTTGAAACTGAAAGGTATGTGATAAATAGTGTTTATTTCATTGAAGTATTATGTATGAATTGCAGTCATCACTTTGTTTCCTCTGTTGCGGAGTTAATGAGTGACGCACTCATTATAAGTATGTTGTATGAGTTGGTTTGCAGCAATTTTTTGTTTATCTACGTGTACTAATCGCGGTGATAGGTAACATCTTATGGTTTTTACAGCGTTTTCAGTTTTATTATATTTTAAGACGTTTGTAGTGACAGTAACTTATGTCAGTCGTAGTATCTAGTACGGCATTGCCGTTCAACTCAATTCATTCAGTTATGCATATACGGGTGTTGTGAGTAGCGGGAAACACCAATTTAAAATTAACGAACGGTGGTTTTATATCTTCAAAAGAATGGATACTGAACAAAGGGTACTCTTTTCGATAACTTCATCATCAGTCTCTACCATTATATATACATTATAGTGGATGAATGATTTAGTGTTATGGTCGACATTAATGTTTAAATAGCATCAAATCATTGATAGATTACAGCTGAATCGCGTCAACATAAAATAAGCTGAATGTCAGAAAAATTAGGAAGGATAATATTACAAATTCATGAGTTTATAGTTTCATATTTGTTTGTATATTAGATTTATCACACAGTGGAGGAGTATTATTTATTGGATGACGTTTCGAACATAATTTATTGTTCATAATCATATCAATTGTAATCACACGACTTTGAAACTTGAGTTTTATAGTTTTCTTTGTCTTCTCCTATTTGTCGTAGGGGTAGTAGAATTTTCCAGATAACACTAGTGTTTACCGGAAACCCACACATTCAAACAGATATTTAAACTTCCGATCATCCCATCCTATGTCAGTAAAAATAGGATTGGTGAAATGTTTAAGTAACAGAGCACAAGAACTAAGTAGTACCAGGGAAAATCTAAGACAGGAGGTGATACGCATAAAAGAAGCCTTGAAACTTGATAATTATCCGGATAAATTAGTCAGGAAATATGTAAGGAAATGTAAAAATAAAATAAATAATGATAGTAGCAATAGTGATAGTGATAATAATAATAATAATATTAATGGCGACAACAACAATAAGGAATCTAAATCATCAGTAGTAATTCCATACAGGGAAGGAACCTCGGAAGCCCTACGCAGAATTCTTAACAAGGCAGGAACAAAAGTGGCTGGCATTCAAACCACCCACAAACTCAATTGGGAACAAGCTTTGTCAGTTATAGGATCCTGTGGAGGAGCCTTTAAAACAAAACAATTTAGTTTATCTAATACCCTGCTGGAATGATTGTCAGGTCAAATACATAGGTCAAACTAGTAGAACAGGGTCAGTCAGACTAGCTGAACATAAAAACTTTGCAAAATCTAGACTGCTTGACCCAAATGAGATAAGAAATCTAAAGACTAGTTCGGCTATAGAACTACATGCAATTACACACAACCATACAATAGGATGGGATAGGATGACAGTTTTAAAATCTAATGTCACAGGGTATAGGGAGAGATTGATAACAGAAGCTTTGTTTATCGAATCAACTGCAAATACAAGTGATAGGAATGATTTAACACCTGTCCATTCAGATATCTGGAAAATTCTACTACCCCTACGACGACAAATAGGAGAAGACAAAGAAAACTATAAAACTCAAGTTCCGAAGCCGTGTGATTATAATTGATGAGATGATTATGAACAATATATATTGTTTTCGAAACCTTGTAATCCAGTAAATAATAACACTATTTCATTGTGTGATATATCTAATAAACAAACTAATATGGAATTACTTACTATCCTAGAGCCAAAGTTTTACACATATATTAACGGTCGTTTCCGTCTGATTTGTTATTCACTGAAGACGGTTCCTCTCTTTAGTCCAGTGATGAATTTTTCCACATTATCGAAATAGAGTCATATAATGCAAAGTAAGTTCATATATAAACCATGTGATAGTTGCATATACTAATCGTGGCAGTTGCTTATGAATAATGTTGTGTTTTGATTTTGCATCGTGTTCACAATGAGTTCCTTTATTCCTCTTTCATGAAATGTTTAGGTGAACTGGATGAAACGGCAAGACAATTCTGCTGTAAAGAAAATGTTGACTTTGGTCCAAACAGATCTTTGAATCAGTTAAGATCGTTTCTCACAAAACTTGAAAAGGTGTGTTAAATCCTATTAAACTGTTACATGGAATGTTTTATTTTAGCATTCTGTATTTTGGATTCTCCCTGCATATCGTGATGATTATATCATTGAATATGATTGTATGAAGTTAAGTCACGACACAGAAACTCCGCGCCAGATTACTCCACTTAAGAAGGTGAAGTTTGGTTCTGGAAATACTCAGTGGTGTGTTGAGATCAAAATCTTGATAACAGTCTATAACAGTTCATGTGAGCTGTATAAAGCGGAGTAAAAAGCTGGGATTAACTGCACCCACTACAAAGTACATCTATGACATAATAACCAAAATCTTGATAACCTCATCAGCCACCATTGGTCAATCTTTGCTTTTTAAAGAGAGTATACATACGTATGAAACTGTGAAAAATGAGGGTATGAAACTTTTCATTACAGTTATAAAACCTTGTATAGCTATTTCATTGATTCTTGTATAAGCTAAAAGGGGATATGCATATGGAATTGATTTTGTGTAATCTTTGTAGGTCTCTACCACTGTCTATGCACACAGTGCCGAATCCTTACTATAACATAATATTCCGTCGCTGTGGTAAAAGTATTTATCTATCTATCTTGTGTTTCTAGACTGTAATCCGATGGTTTTGAAATTCCTCTTTCAAAGGCAACTCAATTATGTTTGAATCGTCATACTTATTTAGTCTTTGGTAGTGACGTTTTACTTTACTTTTACTTTACTTCGGCTATCTCCTACGGGAGGATTAGCCGGCTTCATGAACAAGAGTTCATGAAGTTTCATGGGAATTAGGTACGAGTGATGTCCCCAGAATCGCTCGGCCTTTTGTTTGAGAGTGCAGCTCTAGCCTTTACACAACCAAGTGTGACCTACAAGGCAGTAGGAGTGGAGTAGGGAGTCCACTATCCATTGGCAGCCAGCCGGTGACCGGAGTCCGGTTCATACGCCTTTTTGAATGGGGTCAGACATCCAGGGCATCCAATAAGCCCTTTGTCCATACGTCTGGCGGTGAGCTCCAGTGAGCTTCATACGCCAGTCGTTGGAGGTTTGGAATCAGGGTTTAGCCATCTCCCCTAGACTGTCATCCAATGGCTAGTCAACCCGGTGAAGAGCGCCGGGCATGCGCTTTTGTCCCCTCACTTCGGTGAAAAACACCTCCGCCACGTGAAGGCAGTGAGTAGGACTTCCTCAGGAGAGGTTATGTGAGACGCCCGGTCATATGGGAGCATTTCAAGAGGTGTATGGAGGGATGGCCAACCCGCAGCGCAAAGCACCCACCCCCGACCATCCTGAGGCTTTGGAGGCTAGTGACGTTTTGCTTATAAGAGAACAACAAAGTTCAGCGAAAAGTCACTTTTCGGTGAATTGATTCACTTAGCTGTGGAGTCGCATTTGTATATAATTATTTTGTGTGTGTGTGTGTGTGTACATTAGGATTGTCAAACCAAAAATAAATAAAAATTACTTAGAGTTACTGTTTATGTCATCAAAATGTTTCTAAAATGTGATGAGTAATCAAAATTTTAACTGGGGAGGGTGCAGATTGGTAAGTATTGCCAAGGGTTGCGTAATATGAAGTAGAATGATAATGGAGACACGTGTCCAAAAAATGAATTGTGTAATAGGTAGAGAGAGAGAGAGAGTAAATAAAGGGTTAAGAAGGTTTAGAAGAAAATGTTACTACGATAGCATACAAAAATTCAAAAAAAGAAAACAAGACATTAACAAAGTCGTAGATTTTGAAATTATACCCAAAGTGGAAGGAGGAGATGGGGGAAGTTTCTTCTGTGTACATAAATAAGGATTTTCGATCCGCATTGCCAAGGCCTCGGTAATGTGCAAAGTATACGGAAGCTTACCGTTTTCGGGAGGCTTCTTTTGACTTTGTAGATAACTTTGAATGAATTCTCCTTGCACATTGAGTGACCAGTGTTGATTATCTGTTCAATTATAGCACTCTTTATTGGTCCGCTGTTGCCTTCTCATAGCCAAGCGGGATAATGGTCTTTGACTCTTTTGGATAAAACATGCATCGAACGACCTATATATCTCGTTCCACATGAGCAAATAAATTGGTAGATACACATAGAAAGTAGTCGAATGCGATAGTTTATCTTCGGGGTTGTTGAAGAACAATGGGTTACTTGAGAATACCAGTCGTAATTTAGCAGCAGGGAATGTTCTTTTCAGGGCATTAGATAATCTTCTCTTAAGGATGTCGTCCAGAATGTCGCCTTTGAACGCCACATTCATGTATAGCATCTTCTTCAGCACAGAGATGAGTTGTTCTTCGCTGATTTTCGGCTTTATACGCTTATTTATAGAGCATGGTGGATATACACTCTCAATTGGTGTCTTCTTCAAAAGAGTGATCATTTTTTATTCGGGGCTGCATGTTCTGCGGATTCTAGTCTCAAGAAATATCAGGTTCCGCTTGCGATTGATGGGTACCCAACTGTATAAGTTTGTCAGCTGGCCGTTCCACGTAGGCTTCGATTATATTGATCTCTTTAGGGTCTCATTAGTCTTCTTTGTTAGTCAGACGTCCGGAAATGAGATTGCCTCTCCAGTTTCTGCTTCAATTGTAAATTTGATAGCTGGGTAGCAGCTATTAAATTTATTATCCCAGATGATAAAAGTGTCATCGACTTGAGTTTTGTACAGAGAAAAGTTGTCGATTGTTGGTTTCAAGGGACTATTTTCCAAACTTGTCATGAAAATATCTGCAGGTAACGGGTCTAAAGGTGAACCCATAGCCACACCAACTTGATGTCTATTAGTACGTTCAAAGTGCAACTAAGTAGAAGTGCTTCTAACTTGGGTATGGGTATTCCAGTATTCTAATCGTTGTCTTCCAAGTACTTGCATAAGAAACAAATCGTTTCCGTAATCGGGATATTTGTGAAGAGAAATTCAACATCGATTGATATCTTGGGATTGTCGCCCACTTCCACATCTTTGACTGTTTTTATTTTTTTTTCGATTACAGCTTGATTCCATACTGTATTTTCGGTACAAGTATGGAATTTTCAGCGTGGATATCGGTAGCCCAAATTTCGCAATTCGACCATATATATCAGGAGTGCGTCGGCGTGGGCTCGAACCCCGGACCATGTGCATGGTCGGTGGGAGTCCTAACCACTGTGACACCGATGCATTCGAACGTGTCTCGAAAAGAGTATTTCGAAATTTGTTCTCTAAGAAGCTTTAGGAGTTCTGCCAGCCATTTTGCAATTGGATGGTATGTGAAGGTCCGGATATGTCCAAAATAGGGCGCAACGGAAGTCCCTATTTGTTGGTTTTGGGTAATCCATATGGTCGGGGTATTATCGAACCGGTTGGCCGATTTCTTTTGTAGACCTTTTCAGCGATAAGTTGATCACTTTTAAGCTTTCTCAATATCCCAGTGAGTTGCATCTGTTATATCTGTTTTGTCTTTCTCTTTGTCAGGTTCAGCGAACTTGTTGTTTTCTCAAAGAATTACTAACATTTTATCAGTATAGTCCTTTCTATCCATTAGGACTATTCCAGTATCTTTATCAGAGCTTGTGATCAGCAATTCTATGTTATGTCTCAGTTGGTTGAGCTGTTCTCTGTGTTCTGTAGTCAATAGATTATTGCGCTTAGAGTTTGTATTGAGGTACTGATGGCATGAGTCTAGAATTGTTAACTTGAAACGTTTGAACTCTTCTTCAGAGACTGGGAATAGATTACTGGTTTCAACATAGAACTTTGCACCGATGTGCAGCACGTCCAGTCGCCACACTTCATTGGTCTAATTGATCAAATTTTCGCACTCTACATATGTATGGAGCTTGCTAATGTTTTGGTTCATTTCGCAGAATTTTGCCCCGACAGACAAGCCCTCCAGTTGTCTAGGTGATAAAGTTACTAAAGAATGATTGATCACAAATTTAGCAGGATCTTCTGGAAATTCGCATCGTATTTCAGTGGGTTTTAGGCTACTTAATAGGCTTGAATGGACGGCTTTTGTGCGCCTCTCCGTAACCATACTCATATACTCAGTGAAAGCTTGGTGTTCACATAATACAAAGAATCGTTGTGCTATGTTTCTCTCCAGTTCTGGGACACGTGAAAGAATGGAGTCAATGTGGTTCAAAATGTAGCGTTTAAGGCATTTAGAGTTAGGATGAATATTATCACGACGAAGGGCTCTCCAATACCATTTCGGATATCTATGGTTATTTAGTCAATCTCTGAGAAAATCGGTCGTCGCAATGACTTCAACAAGCTTGACAAAATAGCCGAGAAACCCTCTAAGTTCCTTCATTGTCAAAGGGTCATTACTAATTTATAATTCATGGAAAATACTCATCCAGACATGAATATTAAGAACAACAAAGTTCATGGAAGAGTCTCTTTTCGGCGAAATGTTTCAGTGTTAATACTAATAATTCTCAATTTATCAGCTGAATACTTTTATGTTCTTCTGGTTAACACATATCATCAGCTCACATTAGAACGATTTTTTTTCAGTATGACCTTTTGAATCTCACCATATGATTTTCTTTATACCTTCTTATTCATGTGAGATATATGTTTCAACATTACTTTAGAGGTGTCCGTGGTTATGGGATCTTTTTTATGGACGTAATAATCAGGAGGTTGATTCAGTGTTAATGAATCCCGTTGAACAGGTTAGTAAAATATTGTTTAACCTTTTTGTTTGATATTACTGCCAATGTGTTAAGTGGAAATGAGAGTAAAAATTTGAAATTCTGCCTATCTTCTCAATAATAGTTGTTCGCCTAGCCTAGGCGCTTCATATGCAATCTAGAAATTACTCACTATCAGTTTATAATCAGTCTTTAACAAGTTCAAATACAAAACAGTTTCTCTGGTGCTGAAATGTACCTCAGTGTGTAATAAACACACCAATATTGCCCTAATGTTTTACTTACCAGTTTTACTCCTTCTGTGTTTTCAGCTTATTGAATTTTTAATCGCTATTGGCATAGATTATCGCAACAGAATGTCAGATGTGCTGCCTACTTATTTGTATATATGACTGAAAAGCCTAAGGTGCATACTACAGTATAAAATAATATCCCTCATGTGCGCTTCGTGTTGCTCACATCTGCACAAGAGGTTACTTTCGGGTTTGTCTTATACATCAGTATAGATGCAGAGACAGTAGGTTGTCATGGTGTGTCGCATGACTGGGGCTAAATGAGTTTTAACCTAGAACATTGCACAGAAGCGCAGCTATTGAAGTTGCCATACTCTCCATGTATCACACAAAGTTAGAGAAAAGAGATTCAGAAGAACTATCATGAGCAGAAGTATACGGGAGAAAGAGTAGTTAACATGCAGAAACATAAGGATCTGATGGATATAAGAGTGTTCACAAAGTGTGAATGCATCTGTGCCATTGAAAACAGATATGAGAAATACTGAAGTGCATGAAGAAAGGTAGAGTTACAAATATAATCAGTGAAAATCTTCGTAATTTCGAAAATATTAGTCACAACTGGTACTTCCTAACAATTACTGGAGACGTTAGACACTATGAGTGTATTGCATTGATTTTTATCCTGAAGAATTAAGACATTCCAACTGCTTCCTGGATGACTTCCTAGAATAACCGTCATAGACTTTACGGTAGTTGGAACAAAATTTGGCGCCAGTCTACAAACTGATTTCCAACCTAATTTTACTTCAACTGCCACTACTGATAGAGCAAGGTAGTTGCTTGGCAAGCATAACAAAATGAACGTACACTTCATCGATTGTCATTCCTTCACTTTACACTCATCTAACCAGAAAATCAAAGACTCTGTTGTTGAACCAAATATGTACTATTGTTCGAAGCGATCTATGATTTCACACCCATTGTCTTTTCACATTGCGTGCTTATGGTGGTGGTCATGTTAATTAGGTAACGCTTAAGCATCTTAGCTTGAGCATTTTCTTTTACCAACCCTTCTTAACAGTGTTTATCGTTTAAATTCAGGTTGAGGATTATTTATGTGGCTGATCCTTCTATTTCCTTGAGAATTGTGTATAAGGCAGGAGTTATTGTTACTCTAGATGGGATGATATATTTTATCTGCTTGATCATCAGACTAAAATACAACCCTTTACCAACTACTTCGGTTGTATCCCAGCTGTATTAGACCAATATGATGATTGTTTTTTCAGGTTAATATGCTTTCTATTCCATAAGTAAATCCATAGTATACTAACACAGTTTTGCCATTACTAGTGTTCTCTGAGCTGGTTGGTTTAGTTACGAAGCTTTCGTCGTCCTTCTGGATAACATCTGCAGCACAGCTTTTAGCATAAAGTGAACTGACTTAGATTTTCCATGAGTGATATAATTGTGTCCCCAGTAACCATCTTTACATATGTATTGACCATTTTCTATTGACTTGGATTTTAAACTTTCTGGTCACCTGATTTACTTTTTATTAGTTGGTATATTCGGTCTACATTAACGTGTTTGTTAAGCGCAGGTTCGCTTGAGTACCAGGCTTCTAGGAATTCCCTGGCACTTTTGGTGTTTCCTCTGTCTAAGATTTTGACATTTTCCCAATCATACTGATGTCCATAATTGTCTATATCTATTGATATGAAAGAATATATAACATGTCTTCTCACAGCTGATTTGTGTTCCTGGATTCTGATTCGAAGGGGACGCCCGCTTTGGCCGATGTAGTGTCTGTTACAGTTTATACAATTTATTTTTTAAATGGTATTAATTTTATCTCCTTTTTGTGTTGAATCTTTCGGTTTGCACAATATGGAATTAAGTGATTTGACTGACTAGTGCGCTATATCTGTTTCATTAGATTGGAAAAAACAAGAAGTTCGGCGAATGGTTTCAATACTTTAGCTGTTGTTTCAGAGATAATTTTATATATGGTAGGATGAGTTTTCTTGTGGTCTTTGATGATGGTTTTTTGTTGGTGTTTTGATTCGACTTTAAACACTTTTTGATGAAATTTTGTGGATAACCATTCTTTTTGAAGACCGTTTGTAGGTATTTTTCTTCCATTCTTTTCAACTCTGGAGTGCTACAGTATGTTTGAATTCTCTTAAACACTGTCTGCACACAGCTTCTTTTGTGAGTGATTGGATTATTGCTAGTATAGTTGAGTATTTGATCTGTGTGCGTTGATTTTCTATATACTTGTGTTTCTAAATTTCCAGTGTTACTTGTCCTGATTGAGACATCTAAAAGTGGGATTTTGTTATCTAATTCTTCTTCTCTTGTGAATTTGACGTCTTCAAATAGGTTGTTTATTAATTTATGGGTATATTCTAAATGATTTCTCTTAATTATTACAAATGTATCATCAACGTAACGTACGAAGACTTTTGGTTTGATTAATAGGTAGGGATATTAATTCTAATCTTTGCATGACGGCTTCATCTATTAATCCTGATGCAGGTGATTCCATTGGTGTTCCTTTTATCTGTTCGTATATTTGAGTATTAAATTGAAAGTATGTTGTAAGGCATAATTTTATGAGTTCTATCCAAGTTAGACATTGCGTATTTATGTTTTCATCACTATAGAGTAATTGTTGCATAGTTTCTGTTGCTAGTTTTGGACTAATTGAAGAATATAATGCTGTGTGACATCAAAGGACACCATTATTTGATTGTCATCCACTTGAATGTCTTTGATTTTCTCTAAATATTGGATCGACGAATCGATATAGTGATCGCATGATTCTGTTACGTAATTTAATTTTCTGAGAAGTTCTTTAGATAGATTATATATTGGTGTTCCTGAAAGCAAAACGATTATGTTAACACAGTGTTAGTAAAGATGCCATTTTTTTCCTTCACGTTCCCCAGTGGAACATAGGGCCTCAAGCTAGTGGCTTGAAGTTTCTGTAGCAGCGTTTCATTTTACAGGATGGGGTTGCTAGTCTCATGCCCAACCTTTCCTCTTTACCAGAATTATTTCTGGCTTAGCGAGGTAAAAGAGTGCGTGTAGTGGCCGGGGATCGAACCCCGGACCATGTGCATGGTCGGCGAGCGTCCTAACCGCTATACCACTGACGCCATTAGTCATTGTTAAATAGCATAGCTAATAGAAGTAGGACAATGTGCCTGTACACTTCATAAGAAGGCCATTACACAGACAAGTATATGACTTATTGATTTGGACATACGTTGGATGTGTAACTATTTCGACAATTGTAGTTCCTCATAACTTTAGTATATCTCGTAGAAAATGTTTTTTTCTTATATATATATATATATATATATATATATATATATATATAAATTTTTTTTACAGAAAAAATCTTTAAATAAAGCCATTTTGGAAAGAAATGAACTTGAAGATGAATTGCATCGTTTGAAACAAGAATTACTTTCACTAAAAGATACACGTATAGACCTTGCAAATCAATTAAAAACCAAAAATGATGAACTGCAATATGTAAGTTTTAGGTATTATAACTTCTGCATGAAAATTTTGTATTCTCACCTAGTTGATATGAAGTTGATATGGTGTTTGAAAAGCATATGTTGACTACTATTTTAGGCTTTACCTAATAAGCTTATTTTATTTTTTTTAATATACTCAGTAGTCAGTTATATCTCTGGTTGTTAACCATAATAATCGATACATGGATGATACTTTTTTGATTATGAAAAAAACCAGAAGGAAGCAAAGAGCATCCTGGATAGATTTAATGAGGTACATCCTGCAATAAATTTTACCATCGAGAAAGGAAAAGACTAGTATTCCATTCCATCGCTTCCAGGCGCAGCGATCTGATGCAAGGTTTTGCGACAGGGTTATCCAATTCTTGTTCCGCAGACGGAGTCCGTAGACGGTTTGTAGCCCCAGGCACTCCATATCAGCCTTGATTGTACCAAGCCATGTTTTCAGCTGTCCACCCCTGCGACATCGCCAAGATGGAAATGGCGAGGGATTTAGAACTGATTTGACCAGATCTTCATCTGGTCGGCGCAGAACATGACCAAATCACCGAAGGCGACGTTGTTGGACCAGTACTGGAATTTGGTTGATGTTGTAGAGAGTTCATGAAGTTTCATGGGAATTAGGTACGAGTGATGTCCCCAGAATCGCTCGGCCTTTTGTTTGAGAGTGCAGCTCTAGCCTTTACACAACCAAGTGTGACCTACAAGACAGTAGGAGTGGAGTAGGGAGTCCACTATCCATTGGCAGCCAGTGACCGGAGTCCGGTTCATACGCCTTTTTGAATGGGGTCAGACATCCAGGGCATCCAATAAGCCCTTTGTCCATACGTCTGGCGGTGAGCTCCAGTGAGCTTCATACGCCAGTCGTTGGAGGTTTGGAATCAGGGTTTAGCCATCTCCCCTAGACTGCCATCCAATGGCTAGTCAACCCGGTGAAGAGCGCCGGGTATCCGCTTTTGCCCTCTCACTTCGGTGAAAAACGCCTCCGCCACGTGAAGGCAGTGAGTAGGACTTCCTCAGGAGAGGTTATGTGAGACGCCCGGTCATATGGGAGCATTTCAAGAGGTGTATGGAGGGATGGCCAACCCGCAGCGCAAGGAACCCACCCCCGACCATCCTGAGGCGTTGGAGGCTGGCACAATAAGAAGTGTTTATAGAAAACCTACGTCAACGGGCCAGTACACACATTTTCTCAGTTTTGTGCCCTTGAAATACAAACGCAATTTGATAAAGTGCCTGGTTCATAGAGCAAGAGCGATTTGCTTCGACGAATGTCTTGATGAAGAACTGAATAATGCTAAACGGTTGCTAAGTGAGAATGGTTATCCTGAAAAGTTTATTGATAAGAATATGAATTTGAAACCAAAGCAGCCGAAGTTACCAACAGTTCCAAAAAAGGCCTAATTCTTTCAAATGCAGTTCCTAGCGAGATACTAACACAGCGCATTAGAAATGCGGCAAAACGAGCATTCCCTGCTGCTGAATTACGTTGTATCTTTAAGACCACTCCTCTTCCGCGTTCGGGAGTAAAAAACAAGCCGCCTAATTTCGCCTTATCCATGTGTATCTACCAATTTAACTGCTCCTGTGGAGCCAGTTACATAGGCCGCACAATTAGGCGTGTTTCTCGTCAAATTTCCGAACATCACCCTGCGTGGTTAAGCAAAGGCCAAACAAAATCTATTCGTAGCGCTATTCTGGCTCATCTTGTGGATACAAGATTGACGTTAACCATGCCTTCAGGGTCATTTACCGAATACCAACAAACCTCCATTTCGCCTTAAGAGTTCGATTACCAGATATTGCCGAGGCTGTTGGGATCCACACTAAAAAGCCTAATTTGTGCGCCCAAAAGAAGTTAGTCCAGACGCTGTCGTTACCTTGGCCATCTAGGTTTGAATGATCCTGAATTTTTGTGGAAATTTCCTAATTTTAGTTGATATTCTATTCGCTATTATATCTTTATTACTATTATAATTTAAGTATTTTTAGTGAACTGTAATTGCATTGATCATACTTTACGAATCGATATTATTTAGAAAACACCAATATTGTTATTAACTACCAACCTTGAATATTTTGTGTATATAAACATGTCTATATATATATATATATAAATGTAGAACCAGAAGTGGAATTTATCGAAAAGAATATTCTTTGCTCGATTATTTTGTGTTTTTATAGATATCTGAATGAATGTTTTTGCTATAAATTAGTTGTTCGAAAATGAAATTTTACTCATCATAGCCTTGAATATGAAGTAGTTCTTTAGGATATCTCACTAATGGTCTGGTGATAAACTGTTTAACATTCTTAATAAAATAATGAATTTGACAGGAGCTAATTGCATGCCAAACGTACTAGGATCTTTGCCCAAAGGACTGCATTTGGCTAGCACCCCCCACTTAGTAAAAGGACTATATCATCTACATAATTGCAATTAGTGAAAACTTCCCCTAAACACAAGTCACTCCTAACTAGGTCAGGCGGATCAGATCCCTATCCACTAGTACATCTTTGATGAAATGTAATAAAATGGAGATATCAGGCATTTTTGACCGGTTGTCGTGTCTTCAGATGACAACACTCAGTAAAGTCTTACTCAGTTGCATGCATTTGGATAAAGTGCCCTGATTGATTAGTGCACCATACTTCCTCGTCATTCTTTTAGAGTCAGCAACTTGATAACATGCACGAAAGGAGGTCCAATGAAACGACCCTTAGTCTGCGTCTGAATCATTTGTCTAGTTTACAAATCATATGGGAAACTCTGATTCCCATGGGAAGACGCTGAAGCCCGTCTATTTTTGTGGGTTTCATTTCCCATGAAATGCCTTATTTTCCAGCACTGTGAAGTGTAGAACTTACACCGGGATATAGGTTTAAACTGTTTCCCCTGTGCTGGGTTTCATATAGATATTCTTTTTATATAATTGGGAGGCTTGTTCAGTCGATAGATCTTGTCAACAGTTTGTGTCACAATATCAGCGTACTCTAATTAAAGGTTATTAAACATCTTACTAATATACAATTTTGTGTATAAAACTTTGTTAAAAGTTCTGTTAATTCCTACCTTTTCAAAAAAATTAGATGTGTGAGAAATTTCAAAAACAGGAGGAACGTCTTACCGAGTATCGAATTCGGATACAAAAGCTGTGTGATCCTCAAGTAGCTAGTGCTTTCGCGGAGACTATTCGTAAAAATGTATGCGCTGGGAAAAGTGATTCTCATATCACTTCATACACTGTTTCTTCAACACCGTCATCGGGTTCACTGTCTTCCTCGCGAACAGAACCAGATAGTAAGTGTTGAATTTTGTTTATTTCAGGAACTGGTTTACTTTTTTTGTAATACTTTCCCAATACCGTCGGTTAGAAGTTGACAGAAGCACAGTACAGTAGTAATACTGATTCTCACAGTCTGTAACTTGTGATTAGTGACTAGTCTGACAATGAATGGCATTATCACCGCCTTTTATTATTTTCTCTCTGCATACACAAATATATATTTCATTTCATTTCTTGATTTTCATCAGTGGAAGCTACAGGTTCAGTCGTCACAGTGAGGTTTGTTCTCATCCAACAAACTTCACAGTTCATAATTTGTTTGCTTTCTCTACATTGTCTAGTAACCGTACAATATATTCACTATTTATTCTTGTAGTTCTGACTGAAAATGTTGTTGTCCAGTCTTGTTCATCCTGAGTCATCTCTTGCATACATCAGATGTTAGGGAGGCTATTTCAATCGTAGTCTGGAAATGCTTTAGTCTCAGTAACTAAATTTGTTAATATGATAGTGACTTATGAAATGAACGAATTATATTCAAATGCCCTATTAGTTTGTGGAAGTTGAACATAAAAGAAAGCTGAGGGTGGCCAGATAAAGATAGCAAGATTTATTAGACAATGACTATTAGTCGAAACAGGAGGCAAGTGTAGAGTTTCAGGTATTTGATAAGATAACCACAGTGGAAGTCACTGAACCGATGAAAATACTGGAGCGGCATCTTCTTCTTCTTGTCTTCTTTTCGTAATCATTTTCTCCCTCAAAATTTTTCCTCATTTACTTCTATTCATTTTATTCCGTTGCGCTCCGAATGGAGTATAGGGCTTCAACTTGAGCTTTGAAGTTTCAGTAGCGGTAGTGTTTTTTACGGGGTGAGGTGGTTAGCCTCACGTCAAACTTCTCTCTTTTTCGGGTTTACAGCCAGCTGGGGGAGGTAAAAGTGTGCATCGACCAGGAACTGAACCCCAGACTGTGTGCAAGATCGACAAGCATTCTACCGCTGAGTCAATTATTTTTTTATTATTATTGCTCCCTTGGGTTCCTAGTGGAACATAGGGCTTCAACTGCACGTCTCCATTTTCTTCTGTCTTCTGCTATACTTTTCGCCTGCATCCATGTTAATCCATATTCTTTCAACTCCTCTTCACACGATCTCCTCCATGTCACCCTTGGACGTCCCACACGCCGCTTCCCTTTCGGGTTCCACTCGAGTGCTTGGCGCGCGATGTCACCCAGCGGTCTCCTCAGCGAGTGTCCGATCCATCTCCACTTTCTCCTGCATATTTGTTGGGCGATTGGTTCTTGCTTTGTTTGTTCCCATAATTCCTTGTTGGTGATTCTTTCCGGCCATCTGATCTTCAGTATGGAGCAGCGAAGACAGTTGTTAATAAAGGTCTGCAGCCTTTTGGAAATATTCTTTGTGACCCGCCAAGTTTCTGATCCGTATAGAAGAACTGACTTTACGTTTGTATTGAAAATCCGAATTTTGTTGGTGATGCTGAGTGACGAAGATTTCCAGATTGATTTCAGGCTGATGAATGTGTTTCTCGCCTTCCCGATTCTCGATTTGACATCCTCGTCCGTTCCGACTGTTAGTTGAGACAATGCTCCCTAGATAAGTGATGAATGAAGTAACCTCTTTCAAATCCCTCCCGTTGATGGTGATTGACGTTGGATGTTGTTGCTGTTGTTGGTTGGTTATTTTCATAACCTCCGTCTTGTCTATGTTTACCTGGAGTCCTGTCTTCGTCGGCTGCTTCTTCGACCAGTTTGTCGGTTTTCGCTTGTAAGTCTTCGATTGTGTGTGACATCAAACATGAATCATCCGCGAAATCCAGGTCTTCTAGGTTCTTCACGTCGGTCCAGGATATTCCTGTCTTCTCGTTTCCCACAGTCTGACGCATAATCCAGTCCACCACAATTAGGAATATCATTGGTGATAATAAGCACCCTTGTCTGACTCCTGTGTTTACTCCAAACGCCTCGCTGAGTCTTCCGTTGTGGATCACTTGACATGTGCCGTTGTCGTACAGCTGTTGAATAAGGTTGATGAATATTTGGGGTACGCCATAGTACTCGAGTAATTTCCAAATTACTTCGCAGTCAACGCTGTCGAAGGCCTTCTCAAAGTCTATAAAGTTGAGGTAGAGGTTTGATTGCCATTCCATGCTTTGTTCGATGATGATGCGTAGAGTTGCAATTTGGTCAGTACATGATTTGCCTTTCCTGAATCCAGCTTGTTCTGGTCGGAGTTCTGTCTCCAGTGCGTCCTTTAATCTCTCCAGGATGATGCGACTCAGGATTTTACTTGGCGTCGATAGGAGCATGATTCCTCGCCAGTTCTTGCAGAGTGAGGCGTAAGTCGCCCTTCTTTGGTAGTTTCACGAGGTAACCTTTCCTCCAGTCAGTAGGCACCTTTCCCTCCTTCCAGACCTTTTGCAATAATGGAGTCAGCATGTCTGCTGTAGTCTCTGGGTCCGCTTTCAGTGCTTCAGGGGGTATTCCATCTGGTCCGGCTGTTTTTCCAGCTTTCAGAAGTTTGATTGCGTTCAAGACTTCAGCTCTCGTTGGAGGATTGGTGTCAACTTGCAGTTGTGTGCGCGCTGTTGTTGGTATTTCTGGACGGGTTGCAGGTGATGGTCGGTTCAAGAGTCCTTTGAAGTGATCCGCCCATTGTTTAATCTGTTTTTCTTCCTTGGTAATGGGCTTCCCTTGGCTGTCTTTTATAGGTTTCGCTTGTGTTGATCTCTTCCCGGATAGAGATTTGGTTATCTGATATAGTGTCCTCAGGTCCCTTTTGCCTGCTGCCTTTTCAGCTTCAGTAGCTAGATTGTCGTAGAATCGTCTTTTGTCCTTCCTAGCACTTTTCTTCACTTCTTTGTCCAATGCTTTGTAAGTTGAGCTCATCGTCTCCTTCTCCTGTCCGTCCTTGCATTGAATCATTTTCTCTTTCACCATTCTCCTCTCTTCTATTAATTTCCAAGTGTCCGTTGAGAGCCATTCCTTGTCTTGTCTCTTCTTTCTTCCTAGAACCGTTGAACACGTTTCGTTGAGAATCGCCTTCAGAGACTTCCAATGTTCTTCCACGCATGATTCTTCAGTGATGTCGCGTAGTGTTTCCTGCTTTGCTCTGACAGTTGCAGTGAAAGTGTCCTCTGTGGTTGAACTTGCATTGTGGCCTATCCCCAGCTATCCTCGAGGCTTTTAGTTTCACCTTGAAAGTCCCTTCTACTAGATAGTGGTCTGAACCCACATCTGCTCCTCTCCTTGACCTTGTGTCCAGTAGGCTCCGTCTCCACTTTCTTGAAATTGAGATGAAGTCTATTTGGTTCTTGGTGTTTCCATCTGGTGAAATCCATGTCGTCTTGTGTATATCCTTGTGTTTGAACACACTACCGCCAATCACCAAATCATTGAAGGCGCAGAAGTCTGAGAAGAGTTCACCATTGTCGTTCATTTCACCGAGGGCCTCACGACCCATGGTGAGTTCTCTTCCTGTGTTGTCTCGTCCCAGCTTCGCATTCATGTCGCCCATCAGGATTTTGATATCGCCATTTGGGACGTTGTCCATTATTGCTTGTAGTTGTCTGTAGAACGCCTCCTTCTTCTCTTGTTCTGAGACGTTTGTAGGCGCATAACATTGAATGACTGTAACTTTCCTTCCTTTTGAGTTGAACCTGGCTGTCATTATCCTGGAGGAGATTGGTTCCCACTGCATGAGAGCTTTGGTTGCTGTTGGTGACATCATGATGGCCACTCCCTCGGTGTGCTCATGGTTGTCCTCTAGGTGGCCGGAAAAGATTACTGTCTCTCCAGTAGGTAGTTGGCACCTTCCAGTTCCGTTCCATCTGCTCTCGCAGATTCCCAACACTTCTATTCTGTACCTTCTCATTTCAGCGGCTATCTGGGCAGCCTTTCCAGTTTCGTACATTGCGCGAACATTCCAGGTACCCATCCTTACTTTTGCTTTCATCGAAAGAAGGCACATCGGCTGACTGGCTTCCCGAAGGCTTTCACCAGCCTGCGTCATTTCACTTCCCCGATTCCAGCGAAAAGTAAGGCTATTGCTTATAATTTTAGAATTTTTAATATATTTATTCGTTGAAGTTTCTGTAGCGATTTGGTTGTTTTACAGGGGTGGAGTTGCTAGCACCATGCCCCAACCCTCCCTCTTTACCCGGGCTTGGGACCGGCGAGAACACTAGTAAGCTAGTAGCCTAGCAAGCTAGTATCTGACGAGGTCAATAGTGTTCATTTTTGACAGATATTTATTTCTCTGATTCCCTTGATAGTTGCTGACACGTAATTTAATTTACATTCAAATAAGTTAATTATAGGAAATTATGTTTTCTTCTTCACTTAAGAATACGTTGGTTGGTTGTGATACGCATAATTTTGTTTGTGTAAAATTCCATAATGCGTTTTGTGCACTTAATACTTTTCATTGGGTTCTCTATATACAGTTTCACTGACAACAGTTAGCATTCTTCCGTCAAATAAAACTCCACTTAACACTAAACCTTCAGAAGCTCAACCCGCATCAATCTTCCATTGTGTGGGTGCTGCAGTTACAGCTATTGCAAATGTTATCACTTCTCCTAAACGTCCACAGGCGTCTCCTGTAAACTCATCTGAGAATAAACGTAGTCGCCCTGATCTTTCACCACCAAAATCGGATAATACGCCCACTGAAATGTCTATCGCTGAACCATCGCTTGCAGTAAAAGCAGAAGAAAAACCTATTCCATGTGTAAGTATTATTTTTATTGCCTTAATTTCTTCATACTTAATCAATATGCCTTTGTATCTTATTACGTATAAAAATAGGCATATTGCAGTGTAGCTTACCTGACCTGACCTTGCAGTATTTAAGCTGTGTGAATCAGCAGTTAACTTGTCATTTTCACCCTAGTGATAAATTTGTTTGAACATAAAGCATTCAGTGTATGTAATTCATTAGACTTGCCGCCTATAATATATAATTGGTAAAACAGACATGCGACCAAGGATTTATATAAAGCTTTGCAGTACTAAATGGTTGTGATAACTCATATAGTGAGTTCAGCATTGTAACTCACTTAGTAATACATGCTGTGTTCTACAAAGTAGCACTCATTTAAACTTCTTAACACTATTGACTCAGTCTTTACTTTAATATGGATTCATCAAACTAGAAATTAAAGTTTGTTACATTCTCCACGGTATGTAATCTGTTTAACAGGGTCAACAAGGCGAGCGACTGATTGAGACCGCTAACACATTCAGTGAGTAGTAGTATGTTCGCCATGTAGCATCAACCTATATCATGATTTGAGAGAATTTAACTGGCTACTATTTGAAGGAAGTACACAGAGAGAAGCTAAACCGTTGAATGTTTAGATTACTTCACTTGTTTTAGTAGCATTAGCTCCAATTGAATGGTAGTTATCGAAATATCAGGATGGATGCTATAGGTTCGTTTGGTGACTGTCAACTTGCGTCATTTTTGTCGCAGACACGATATCTGTGGAAAGACGTATATCGTTTACAGTGCTTCGCATTCTGTTCGATGTTGGAGGTAGGTAAAACGTATATATATATATATATATATATATATATATATATATATATATATATATTGTTAAGAATTGCATTAGTACAACATTTATGGAAGAAATAATTAAACTCGCTTATATGATTTCAGGATTCTGTTCCAAGGAGAGTTTCACATCCTGCATTATCAACAAAATCTAACCATTTTGCTGTACCCGAACGACCGATCTTTTCATCATCGTCTTCACAAGAAACTGCCCTTGGTCTTCCAGTGAAAAGTACTACGGCACGTAGACCTCTCACAGAATTACCTGTATCAAGACCAAAATCGCCCATAGCTGTCACCAGCTCATCTGGTGATTTACCTACACCATCTGGGTATTTGACAAAGGATAATCATGTACAGAATTATCCAAAGGCGGATGATTTCAAACCTTATAGTTTCCCACCCAAAGGTTTCGATGTTGTAAGTGTTTGTATTACTCTATTTTACGAGTTTTCTTTATTCATTTTATAAATTTGAAAACGGTTAACGTATCGTCAGAGCAGTTATTATATTTTGTAAACTGCTCAAGGTATCCTGGATAATATCCAAAAATATGTTCAAGAGCTTTTGCTTAGGGATTCGATTTGTGTCTCAAGTTTGATCACGGATTGATATCAGTTAAAAATAACCATGGAAAACCAGGGAGTCTTGGACAGCTGTTTCGTCCTCGTTAGGGTAGGTGGCGTACTGACTGCTTGGTTCTCTAGCTGATATCCATTCGTGATCAATCTTGAAAAAATGTTCAGTTAGATGTGAAGCTGACTCAGTGAATATGGAACTATAGTGTATTATGTAATGCATCGATATTCCATAATTTTGTGTGTACTAGGGTGTAGATATGATAGAGAAGACTTGTAGCTCAGGTGGATGATTTTGATGTGGTTGTGTTCTCTGAGCTGGACGGTTGATTTGCGAAGCTTTCATCACACTACTGGGTGACATCTTCAGCGCATACTTCAACCTGTTGAAGTGAGCTTTTAGACTTCTCCACGAGTTTATTAGTCATTTCTCCTGGTGACCTTGGGCGTGGTTGGTTGTTTTTGTGTGTTTTCACACCCTGCAGGCTACTTGTATTGGAACTGATTGTTTCTTTGACTCGAACTTTGACCCTTGGTTTGTGAGGTTTCTTTCTTATCTGTTGATAAATTTCGTCTATTTCTATGTGTCTATTGATTGATGATTCACTGGAATACCAGGCTTCTAAAAATTCTCTAGCCAGCATTCTTGTTGTTTCCTCTGTCTGTCCTCTTTCCCGACCGAAAGCTTGCTACCTTGACGTGGTGGTCGGGCTTGAACACCGCAATGATCTATTCAAGCTATACTGGCTGAGACTTATGTCTCTTGAGGTCCTACCATGCCAGGAAGGTTGTTTGGATAGTGGTTAAACAAAAAGCAGCTACCCTATCCAACATCATGATAAATACAAAATCACAAAATTTCATGCCGGATCGGCCGTGGCCCGGATTAACAACGACCGCACTTCCTGCTGCCGTGTCACAGGGCAGGAGTGATAAATATGCTACTGAGGCACACCAAACAAAAGAGAACAAACAAAAACAAGCCGCGTGTGACCGACCCCGAGCAGTTGTCCCCTGGGCTCTGCGGTCACGCAACCAACTTCCACGGTGTGGGCAGCCGGGAAGTAACAATCGCCCTCACAATCCGAAATGCACACGAAACCTCTCTACTACTCACTCATCTTTTTTTCATCATCTCTATCATCTTGCCTTCCTTCCAGTGATGCAACTCCTCGACTTGATAGCTCTCCACTTCCTCTCCACTCTGCGTCCACTAAAAACGATGGAAGCCAAAAAACCACCACCGACAGCCTCCTAAAGCCACACCACCAATTTCATATAGGAGCATTTAATGTCAGGACACTTTGCCAAATAGGACAACAAGCATCACTAGCCAAGACTCTGGTATCACGAGCCATTGATGTATGCTATGTTTCAGAAACACGCATACAAGATCCAAGTGTGGTTATTCACCTAACCCCACCTGGCCAACAGGTTGAATCTGCAAAGTTCACCTTAAGGTTGTCAGGAGATGCCACAGCTAGTTCACGAGGATTAGCTGGTGTAGGGATAGCTTTGAGTACTAGGGCAGAAAAGACATAGCTTGACTGGATCCCAGTAGATAGCCGAATGTGTGCTGTCCGCCTGAACGGGTCAGTAAGAAGGAGAAAGGACTGCACTACTCGCCGATGCCTTGTCATAATCTCCGCCTACGCCCCCACTGAATGCAGTTCTGATGAAACGAAGGATGAGTTCTACCAAAAGCTGTCTAGTTTGGTGCGAAAGGCTAAACGCTTAGACATAGTCGTTCTAGCTGGTGGCTCTAACGCTCAAGTAGGGAAATTGTGTCAATCTGAGAAGGATATCGGTGGCACCTATGGTCTGTCTCCATCTGTCTGGATTCAACATAGAACTTGGCACCGAAGTGCAGCAGTTCGAGTTGCCACGTTCCAAATAGCACACAAAGGTAGACAAGAAGATGAGTGAAGAGAATCAATAGAGTTTGACAAGTATAAGAGTGAAACAGAATGGGTAATGGTAGAAAGGAATATGAAAGATTACAGAGACTGTATACATCTGCGCCATTGACAACGATTTTGAGCCATGTCACCTATTGTCTCCAGCCATTGATTCCTAGAGTCCCGAGGGCCCCAACCCGGAAGTCTGCATCTCCCTACCTGACTCAGTTTAACTGTCAAGGATTTCATGGATTGATGCCATGTTTTTGTTTGGCCACCACTAACCCTTTTCCAATCTGCACCTATATCACCTATGGAGTTCCGTGCCAGCGAACCGACAACGGTGACCGTCTCCTACAGTTCTGTTCTGATAATCATTTGTTTCTTGTAAGCACTAACTTCAAACACAAGGAGAGACACTGTTTGACTTGGAGACCCCCTTCATCAAACCAACGCTGGACACAAATAGACCACATAGCAATAAGCTATCGTTGGCGTGGGTCGGTAGGAGATTGTCGCTCCTTCTGGAACACGTGCGTAGATACCGACCATGCACTGGTCCGCGCTCGGGTGTGCTTACGACTGAACGGACGTAGGAAACAGCTGGCGGTAAAACCATCACGTCCCCAGCTCGATCAGGAAACTAAATCCGTATTTGAGGAAGAACTAGCTAAACACATATCTGTGTTCGACAGCTGTGCTCACCCTGAAGAAGCTTGGAAAAATATCCAGGCAGCCATAGATACAGCTGTAAAAGCTGTGAATAAGGTAAACCCAAAGGTGAGTAAAAACCACTGGATCTCCACCGCCTCATCCGAACTGATAGATGCTAGAAGACTTATTCCGGCGAGCTCCGAATTCAATGAGGAGCGAAAGCTGCACAAGAGGAAACTTACGAAAAGTCTCCGCAAGGACCGTGAACAGTGGTGGGCGACAAAAGCCAAAGAGATGGAGAAAGCTTGAGGATAGGCAACACCAGGCAACTCTTTGGACTCATCAGGGAAACGGGTGGGAGAAGACAAATCATCAGTGAGACAATCTCGGAAAAAAATGGCACTATAATTAGCTCCCAGGATAGACGACTGGATCGTTGGAAAGAGCATTATGAGGAGCAGTTTAATTTGCCCACAGCCACGCTCAACCTTCCGAGCATCCAACACCTCCCTGAATGGGATATAGACACAGGTCCTCCGTCACTAACTGAGGTTACTAAAGCTGTCACCAATCTGAAACTAGGCAAAGCAGCGGGACCTGATGGAATGACGCCAGAGGTATTTAAGTACGGTGGAGACAGCTTACTGTCCGGATTAACTGAGGTACTAGGCAGCGTCTGGGAATCAGAAGAAGTCCCATCGGGTTGGTGTAAGTCACTGATTATCCCCATATACAAGAAGGGAGACAAGTCTTCCTGTGATAATCACAGAGGGATTAGCTTGACTAATATAGTATCTAAAGTCTTAGGCTCAATAATCATGCGTAGACTGAGTGGTGCTCGGGAAGCACAAACACGAGAGAGCCAGGCAGGCTTTAGACCAGGAAGAGGGTGTATTGATCATATCTTCACCCTCCGACAGATTCTAGAACATAGGCATTCCTACCGGCGTCCAACAGTCATTATATTTCTTGACCTAAAGGCAGCATTCGACTCTGTCGATCGGGAAGTTCTCTGGAGATGCTTGGCTGTAAAGGGAATTCCAAGAAAATATATTGCACTGATTAAGGCACTCTATTCGTACTCATACAGCCAGGTGAGGGCTTACGGCGAGCTGTCATCTGAACTGATGACGACCAGTGGTGTCCGTCAAGGATGCCCATTATCTCCTTTTCTATTCAACTTCATCATAGATGTGTTAATGGACTTAACCCTAGGTGACTTCAGCGACTCAGGGATTGACTTGCTACCGGAGAATAATCTCGTTGACTTGGAATATGCAGACGATATAGTCCTTCTAGGCGAAGACGCTGACGAAATGCAGAGTCTTCTAAACACCTTGAGCCGCAATCTACGAATGTTTGGCATGCGATTCGCTCCCGCCAAATGCAAGATGATGTTACAGGACTGGACTACATCGACGCCTAGTTTAAAAATAGGAAGTGAAGTGGTAGAGCACGTTGACCGCTTCACTTATTTGGGAAGTACCATCAGCCCCAACGGGCTGATCTCTGACGAAATCTCAGCACGAATACAAGGGGCTCGTTTCGCATTTGTTAGTTTACGCCGACTCTGGCGTAGACGAGATGTTCGACTATCGACCAAAGGGCGGGTGTACTGCTCATCAGTCCGCTCCGTCCTCCTTTATGGTTGTGAGACCTGGCCACTGAGAGTGGAAGACATGAAAAGACTAGCTGTCTTTGATCATAGGTGCCTGCGTTCTATTTCCCGTGTAAAGTGGCATAATAAGGTGAGCAACATGGAGGTTAGGCGTAGAGTTCTAGGTAAACAGGGGAAATCAATCGACGAAGTCGTGAAGCTACAAAGACTGAGATGGTTAGGACATGTGTTACGTATGCCAAGCCATCGCCTCCCTCGACGAGCAATGTTAGCGGATATAGGGTCAGGCTGGAAAAAAGCTAGCGGCGGTCAAACAAAAACTTGGCATCAGTCAATGAAATCCACAACAGTTGGTCTAAGCCACGTAGGAAGGTGTAGACTTCCAGGCTGGGGTCCTCGGGACGGTAAAAATCTATGGTTGGAAACAATTGGTGACATGGCTCAAAATCGTTCTCAGTGGCGCAGATGCATCCACTCCTTGTGACTTATGATCTCCAATGAAACTGTTTTGTTTTTCTTTATTACTCCTTTGTCTCACACCTCTGCTCACTGTTTCTATTATGCTTTTCTTGTACTTTCTTCTCTTGCTTCGCGTGCTACACGGAATGTGGCGACTTGAACTTCCGCACATTTGTGCAAAGTTCTATGTCGTAAACAGACAGACAGACTCTGTCGAGTATTTGAACGCTGGCTATCCCAGTCGAATTCATGTCCTCGGTTGTCTGTATGTAGTGATATGAGGGAGTGGATATCATGTCTTTTGACAGCTAGTTTATGTTCGTGGATACAAAGACGACGGGGACGTCCAATTTTGCCAATGTTGTGTTTTTCGCAGTTGTTACATTTTATTTTGTAGATGATGTTGGTTTTGTCTTCTTTCGCTGTTGGGTCTTTTGGTTGACATAGAATTGAGTGAGGTGACGTTGTTGGTTTGTGTACGACGTCAATTCCTAAATGTTTGAAGAGTCTTGTAGTGATTTCTGAGATATCCTTTATATATGGTAAGGCGAATTTCTTTGTATTTTCCTTGGGTGCTTTTGCTTTGGTAGGTTGGTCTGGAAGTATATGTCTCTTGATGAAATTCCGTGGATATCTCTTCTTTTGGAAGACGTCCATGAGATACTTTTCTTCAATTTTCCTTAAGGTGGGAGTGGTGCAATGAGTCCTGGCTGTCCCTCTTGAATAGTGTTTGTATGCAATTCCTTTTGTGTGTCATTGGATTGTTGCTGTTGTAATTCAGGATTTGGTCTGTGTGAGTTGATTTTCTATAAACATGAGTTTCTAATTCTCCTGTAGTTGTTCGCCTGACTAAGACGTCCAAAAATGGTATTTTGTTCTCGGATTCCTCTTCTCTTGTGAATTTGATGTCGTTGAAGACGTTGTTTATTAAGTTGTGAGTTTTATCTAATTCGTTTCTTTTGATGATTACAAATGTGTCGTCGACGTAGCGTATCCAAATCTTGGGTTTGATCTTTGGTAGAATTACGCTTTCAAGTCTTTGCATCAACTGCTTCATTTATCACAGGGTGATTTTGAATAAAATGAACAAACAAAAAAGTTGTGCAAAAGTAATATGAAAAATACTTCTAATTCACCATAGTACTTAAACTTGACCTTGTTTCAATATTCCGCTTTCATTAAATTTCTGTAACAATATCAATCGCCTCAAATAAAATACTTGACCTTATTCATCTTTCACCTTGTGTTCTGTTTTCAGAATGTTAGCTTCCTGAATCACCTACCTTTGGCAGAGAGCACTACCCACATGCAGCGGAATACACCACATTCGACTAACCGTAACTTTGGCAAGGATTTCGACTCAAATCGTCCTGCTGCATTTCGGTCACCGAATGAGAAAAATGAACTGTTTGCCGTTCCTTCTTCAAAACCTACTTCATCTTGGCAGGTGCCAAGGTCTGGGCCTATGAAACAGGTAAGGAACACTATATCTCCTGCTCTGCTTTTAGTTTGGTGGTGATATTATTGTCCTTCTGCGGTTTTCGATATCACATTTCAGTCGACGAGTCTTTCGTCAATAGACGGGAAGTGCGTCTGAAATTATCATTCCATGCATCACACAATAATTTCCTTTGATGAAACACACAATGACGTTCCCAGCGTAATTTATAGCTCGCGATCATACCAAGGTGCTCGAGTGTGTATATTTACATGCACATCTGGAATATATTGCTTCATCCCTACTGCAAGTGTTTGATGTCGATTCCTTGAAATAAGACTCAGTGATCCACTATTTTAATTTTTTAATTCTGTAGCGCTCTCCCAGCCAATTGTATATCAGTGCATGTATCACGATTATTGAATTCTTCAAGTTAGTACTTTATTTTCGGTGTTATGTCATTCTACAAATAAGTGAGATTCTCATGCCTTGATAAACTACCTGACCTGTCTGTTAGATTGACCTATGCAGTTAATCTCATAGTTATTGCAGTGTATTTTATAAATTTTGCATAACCGGGTTCGCTGATCCTCTCATAGTTTGTGCTTGAGCGACTTTATAGGTTTGAATACCATCCTAGTTCCTGAATTACCAAGACTGTTATGTACGGTTTCCCATATCCTTTACTGTATGTCAACCTCACCTAGTTTTCTATCCAGTCTCAAGGCCAAGGTAAGCGGGAGGGTTAGGCGTGGGGCTAGCGAGCCTACCCCAAAAAACCTATCAGACTGCTACGGAAACTTCAGCGCACAAGATAAATATTGAAAGTACATAAAATATGAAAAGCAAACATCTTCGCTGGATTCGGATAGGCGAAATGATGCAGGCTGGCGAAAGTCTTCGGGAATCCATTCAGCCGATGTGTCTGTTCTCAATGAAAGCAGAAATAAGAATAGGGACGTGGACGTACAATGTACGAAGTTGGCTGGGAAGGCTGCCCAGGTTGCCGAGGAAAAGAGAAGATATGACATGACGTGCTGGGTATCTGCGAGAGCAAGCACAATGGATATGAACTATCCAAATTGTCAACTGTAGAGCCAGTAATCTACTCCCGTCACCCAGACAAAAACCACGAGTACACTGATGGAGTGGCGATCTCAATGTCACCAACAGCCAAAGCCCTAATGCAGTCGGAACTAACATCCTTCTGCAGGAGAGTGATAGCCAGATTCAGCTCAAAAGAAAGAAAGGGAGGTCACAACTATCCTATACTACACACAGTGTTACAAACAACGTGAAACAAGACAAAAAGCAAGATTTTTAAAGATAACTACATACAGTAATGGACAACAACGTAAATGGTGACATCAAAATCCTTATGGTTGATATGAATGCCAAACTGGGAACAGGATAATACAGGAAAAGAACTGAATATGGTTCGAGAGGCGTTCTCTCAGAAAAATGAATGAAAATAGACAATTATTCGCGGGTTTCAGCGCTTTCGATGATTTGATGATCAGTGGCACTGTGTCCAAACACAAAGATATAGACGAAGCAACATAGATCTCTCCTGATGGACACCGCAATCCACATAGATTTATCTCAATGCTCCTCAAGGAAGTGGAGACACTGCTGGATGCATAGTCGAGAAGAGAAGCAGATGTGGCCTCATACCTTTATCTAGTTTAAGGAAACTTTAAAGTGAAGCTAAAATCCCTGGAAACAACTGGAGACAGAACACTTTAGTTCGATTTCAACATTCAGAAACTGAAGGACAAAACTACAAGGTATGTCTTCACTACAGATATCAGAGCGAAGTAGGAGACACATACTTGCAAATTTTACATGATGTCAGTTTACAGTAGGTCCTAGAATTAGTGAACAGTGCTCAGAAAACTACGCTTATATAGTTTTTACACAGACAGTTCATGTTTAAAAAAATAGTAAATGTATGCATACGTAATAAAGACGAGAGATGCGTAAGATAATGAGTGACTGATAAATTAGGTAAGAGCGTACTGAGTTCAGCTCATATCACTAAAACAAAAGACAAGCGATTCCTATCAAACGCTTGGAACCTGATGTATGTGTTCAGAAAGAAGCAGCTGTCAATCTTTTCTTGCCCTGGTAACTGGATGTCTTTATTCTCTATCTCGTTTGATTATGTAATCTTTGGCTGTAACCTCACCACTTCGATAGCCAGAGATTACATAATCAAATGAAAGAGTGAATAAAAAGATCCATTCACCAAGGCAAGGAAAGACTAATAATTGTTTCTTTCTGAACACATAAATCTGGTTTCAAGCGTTTGATATAAATTGCTTTAGTAAACTTGAGGAGAATCGATCTCCATTGTCTATTGATAATTTCAAATGGTTTCGCGATTTCCACGTCATGACTCGCATTGAGGAGATGTCTGATAATAGCGCTACTATAAAAGTTTGCTCTTTTGAGACGTAGGCGTTTCGGCACATGTTCAGAAAATCGAAGGTGTGCCCTTCTTTCTGTTCTCCCAATGTAACTGCTTCCGAAGATACACGTAAATTTGTATACACAGTTGGAGTTAACATGAAAAGGGTATCTATCGACTTTTGATTGCACCAAAGAGCATGTTGTTCGATGGACGGGAACCTACTTAGCTGCAGGATAGACTCTAGCTAGTGACGTTCTCAAGTCTTTTGTTGACCATTTCTGCAATGTTTTCATCTTTAAAATTGAATTGAATAAAAACAGACTTTTCCGTTGTGATTTATTTGAGCCTTCACATCATCCATATTTGTTAATGAATCTTTGACGGTAACGGTTGTTTTTCAACATCTTTTTGAAAATCGTAAATTTTACCTGTAATTTCTCTGCAGAGCATATTCTCCTCGCTATCTAGTGCAGAGTCTTAACTAGTACTGGTTTATAGCTATTTCAGCAAAAACTATTGAAATGGACAATACTTACAATTTATTACGTAATCTTTGGCTGTAACTTCACCACTTCAATAAAGTGTAATTTTCGTTGTCTCTTCTTTTAATGATTTTAGCTGAACTCAGTACGCTCTTACCTAATTTATCAGTCACTCATCATCTTACGCATCTCTCGTCTTTATTACGTATGCATACATTTACTATTTTTTAAAACATGAATTGTCTGTGTAATTTTCTGAGCACTGTTCACTAATTCCAGAACCTACTGTAAACTGACATAATGTGAAATTTAAGTGTTAAAACTTTTCTGCACATGAACTTAACATGAATTTATTTAGGCTGTGAGTGGCTGGTGAGAAGCCAACGAAATAAGCAATTTTGGTACCATATTGTTCTGCACAAACCAGTGTTGTTCTTGCATTATTCAAAAGATGTTCAAGGTAACCTGATTTCCAAGCGGGAGAAACAAATAAAACAATGGGCTGCTCACTTCAAAAAGTTCTTGAATTGACCAGCAACTCGCAACTCGTCTAGAAATAACACCAATGGCACACACACACACAACTGCCTGTCAGTGGACACCAATTTTCCAAAGAAATCAAATGTCCTAAACGTGATCAAGCTACTGAATACTGGTCAGGAAGGCAGCAGGACCAGACAGAGTTCTCCGACTCATAAGCACTGAAAACGGGAACAGAGACTGCGGAAGGTGTTCTCACGCCATTATTGCAAAAGGTTTCGAAGGGAGGAAAAGTGCCTACTGATTGGAAGAAAGGCCATCTTGTCAAGTACTAAATTAAGGCGACTAAGGCCTGTGCGTGGAATACTGCTGTTGTCCACGCCAAGTAAATTACAAAGTCGCATCATCCTGACGAGAATAAAAAATGCACTGGATACAGAATTCCGCTCACCGGAACAAGCTGGATTAAGGAAAGGCAAATCATGTTCTGATCAAATTGCGTCTCTACGCATCGTCACTGAACAGAACATAGAATGGCAGTCAAACGTCTACCTCAGCTTCATCGACTCCGAAAGGATCTTCCACAGCGCTGACCGGGAAGTAATTTGAAAACTAACTCAACACTATGGCGTGCAGTGCTCAAGTCCTTATCAGCCTCATTCAACAACTAGCTATATGGCAATGCTGAGTATCAGGTGGTCCACAACGGAAAACTCAGCGAGGCGTTCGGATTAAACGCAGGAGTAAGACAAGCTGCCTGCCTATTATCACCGATGGTATTCCTAAGTGAATTGGGTTATGAGGAAAACTGGGTAAGAAGAGAAATGGAACACGGTAGGTCTATAAGAAGAGTCTAGAAGGTCTTGATTTCGCAGATGATTTGTGTATACTCTCACACAAACTCGAAGAGTTGAAGGTGAAACCAAGAAACTGGCAGAAGAAGCAGATAGCGAAAACAGCATTCCAGGTGAACGTAGAGAAGGCGGAGATGATGAAGAAAACTAGCCGACAGCACAACAAAACCAGGACCAGTCACCATCAAAGGGAGACATCTAACAGAGGTTACTTCCTTCACTTATCTAGGTGGCATCGTTCCTACCACGAACAGTCGAAACTGATGAAGATGTCAAAGTCATTGTCAGAAGGCAGAGATATCCCTTCATCAACCTGAAATCAATTTGGAAATCTTCTTAATTCCGCAGCAGAAAGAACAAGATTTGGATATTCACCACAAATGTGAAGTCGGTCAGTTCTTATATATGGGTCAGAAGCTTGGCCAGCGTGTCACAAAAAAGGATTTTCAACAGGTTACAGATTTCTATCAATGGTTGTGTTTCGTTCCATACTGAGGATCAAATGGCCGGCCAGAAAGAATTAGCAACAAGAAAGCCTGGCAACAAACTTAGAACCTATCGTCCAACAAGTATGCGTGGGTAAACAGAGATGGATTGGACACAGGCTAAGGAGGCCGTCGAATGACATCGCGCGCCAGGCTCTCTAGTGGAGTCTGAATGAGAAACGACGAGTAGGTCGTCCAATGGTTACATGGAGGAGATCGTGTGGGAAGGAGATGAGAGATTATGGGCAATCGTGGGCCTACCTAAAGAGGACAGCAGGAATCATAACAAAGTGGAGGTGTGTTGTTGAAGCCCTACGTTCCACTTGGAACCCAAGCGGATCAGTAATAATTAAAAGTTTCTTATCAGTAGTTTTACAACTACTTATATTGTAACTTTTTTGAACTTTCTAATCGATTTTAAAGGATGTTAACATGGCAGCAATGCAACCTCTCTCTGTTGTTTCATTATTTAAGCTGTCTGATATGCTCCTTAGAATATTCTATGCCTTGGTTAGGGAATTAGTTAATTTTATCTTTACCGATAGCAAATGCGGTGAGTCAAAGCTTCTGTTGTAGTGCGTTGAACAGAAGTCGTCATCACATTGTTCAAGTGTGTTTATTTGATTCACTACTGGTGTTATATAATATGCTTTTAGTAATATGAATTCTCCGCCTTACACGTTCTTACATTCTGTACTAGAATCCCACTACAAATGCATTCGTCACACCAGCGCCAGTCCATCCGCAACAACCTGTCCAAAATAAAGACGAACCGCTTACTAACCAAAGATGTGAAAGGAAATCGGTGTCGCGTCAGAAACGGCCTTCCAATGCTGGAGCTCCGGAATGCAAACCATCTTAATAACTTTCTTTTTAAGCTTTTTGTAAATATTTATTTCTCATTACTGAAAAAATTGCACAAATGTTCTTAATTATTCCAAACTTTTGATGTTTATTGACGTTAATTTTACAGTTTCTTAGAGACATACTGAATGTCTGGTGCATGTCTTTATACGCAAAGTATCACAATTGCAGACAGATCCAAGTGGTCAACACGCACATAGGGTTTCGCAGATCAGCTCAAAAGTGTTTCGACTGCCGTTTTCATCTGTTTGTGTTGTTGTTATGCTATAGATAATAATCGAATTGCTCACTGTCGGACATCATAGTAGATGTGACATGATTGCTCTACCTACCAGACTTTCACTTCTTCGAAACTTGTTGTCTCTATTTGGGTGTAAACATTTAGAATAGAGAAATAAATTGCGATTGATTTAACAACGACTGTTAGAATGCCCGAAATTGAAACTAGCGTAAACAACAACATTTATGACTCCACGCAGTATTTTTGATGCAAGTATGGAATTTTCAGCATGTGATATCGGTAGCCCAAATTTAGCAGGCCGGGAGTCGAACCCCGGACCATGTGCATGGTAGGCGAGCGGTCTAACCACTGTGTCACTGACGCTGCTATAGATTACTAACATCTTCACTCCTTCGGCGAGAACATCTACAAGATTAACGGAAAACAACAAGTCTTTCTCAGAAGCGTCACTATGAATGTATCTCACTATTATTAGTTATTTCCTTACCGTGATATGTAACAGTTTCATATTTACTAAGATAGGTGTCACTTTGTAAAAACCACCGATAAATCTGATATATATCACAATAGTTCATGTGCTTTTTCCTCATCTGATGGTGTGTACCAATTTGGGCTGGTGATTGTGCCTTATCTAAATTATTTTTGTCGTCTCTACGCTAGATAGCACCTGAAATACAGTTTTCGTCAAGATTCTTCTTAACTTTACGAAATACTTTAGGTGGAAACTCAGTCCCCCTGACATACTGATTTTATCCAGCTGGGACAATCGTAATAAGCAACTGATAAGTGACTGACTGTAAGCAGGCGAATAGAATGACTACTGGTTGTTTTGACATCGAAGCTATTTGGTTTAATATCGTTAAAAGAGCGGTAGGGCATTCGTAAGAATAAATTCCTGAGTCACGATAATAGAAAAACACATTCTCACTTAACAATCACAACAAAAGACATAAAGTGGTTGCTCAACTGCTGATTTCTCTGGTTAGAAGCTCTGTCATCAGACACACATTATCGGCATAAGAATTTCGCATTACTGTGGAGCAGTTCGCGTATTTGCACTTTAGTTTCAGTAAGAGCACTTATTAAACCTGAATTTCGATCTAGCCTATGACATGGCTTCAATTTCGAACATTGACAAAGTAATGGAGGATCGAAAGTAAACTACCCAGGATCGTTCCTTCAGTGTGAATCTATGACTATAATTGCTCCTCTGAAATAGAGGAATATAATATGTTTGACATTGTATAAAAGAGGAATTTAGAAGTGACGCAATGCGTATATTTTATGTAAAAGCGTACCACAATATTTTCATCATCGAGGCAGGTTATAATAAACTCGTAATAAAAATAAGTCAAGATAAACACTGTACCGGCTACATCGACAGCACAATATTCGCGAAAGTGTTCATACTACAGATAAGTTAAAGTTAAAAGATGTTTATGACTGGAAAACAGAATCGGGCAGTTTGATTGGTTCAATCGATATATTTGCTTGCTTCACTGACTCCCGAAAATCAAGGCCGAATGTAGACCTATAAAATACAAAAATAAACGCTGAGACTCACTTTCTTCTCTCATCATATGTGACAAAACAATAAGAAAATGTCGACGAAAAATGGTGAAGCAGTTCAGTCGAGTCTGCAATTATTTTCATTCTTGCTGACTCTATGTGAGATACGTATTTATAGGAATGAAATCGCACAATATTTAGGTGTCATTACAAGAAACAGATACACCAACACGCTGGTCAGTTAATTCTCGTAAGTCAATCGGAAAGGCCAGTAGAACCATATTTATCTACGGTTAGTCAACAAAGTTAACGAATGATAATTTCAGTCTATAAAATGCCTCCCTGTTGCAAGTAAATACACGACGAAATCCGGGAGTTCTAGGTTAACAAGGATAAAGATGTTATATGACACATTTATGGAATGCTTTCAACTGAAGATTTAATATTCTTTGCGTGACATAAACTGGAGACTTTATATTCAAATTCTTTTGAAAGTCAACGAGTAAGCACAGTTATGCATGACGCCCAAATCGTCTTCGCGTGCACCTAGTAAATGAACCCATTTCGAATGTTAGTAGAATACAAACTTAAACAAAACAGTACAGGGTTTTGAGACAGATTGACGATATGATAGTATTGTACTGTTGGGAACATCCGCATCTGTCAAATCGTGGATGACAATTCTCGTGATAATATTTTTCGCTAATTAAAAGTAGGTTTTTTCGTCTGGCTTCGTCAAGCTGGCCGACGATGCATACAATAGCCAAAGCTACATTCAACATTGGTCACTAGTTCGATTTCTGATAACTTGTTTTCTTAGTCATATGGTGCATAGTTGGCCGAAATAGAAATGTACTCACCTATGTTTATAGCACAGTGCATCTTCACGTATTTACGCGTTTAGTTTATTAATACCCTGTGTCTCTTCATTCTGTTTACTGCTTAGTCGCAAAGTCTGACAAATGATGCCCATTTGTTAACAGTCTTTAATTGCTCTTATCTACGTCGCATATAATGATTATAAGACGTTACTTTACCTTATACTGATTGTGTCTTTTTAATATGAGTTGTATGCAACTAAAGAAAAGTCATAAAATAAAATAGTTTATTTCATTCGATAAATCCTGTTTTTCTCGGTCTGGTTGCAATCAAGAGCAACCTTAGATGATGATCCACATGCATGGTATTTTGTGTGAAATAAATTCAAAATGAAACGATATTAATCATGCCTACAGTTACCAGAAAAAAGTACTTAGCGAGAACTAAACAAACCTTGGTGTGAAATCTACTGAAGAAATATCTTCCGTAATGCGAGGAGACTTTTCTTTCTGTAACAAGTATCCATTCCTGTGTGAACGGTCAAAGGCAAATTTTAAAAATACATTTAAATGCGCCCAAGTAGGTATTCTTAATATTATACAATACATAATACTAGAAAACTAAATACATAAATGGGAAATAGTGATTACCACCACTCGGCACTCATGTTTTTGTACTGTACTTCGTTAGGGTAGACTAATGTCTGATAATTAAAATTTTAACAGAAATTTATTTCAATTTGGACTTCCCCATTAATTGATTGGACCGAAGTGTTCGCCCTCTGTTGACACATCTACCCCATTGTGAGGATGCTCCAACGATGTCTGAGGATTTAACTCGAAGTAATTTGCTGGATGATGACTAGCAGTGGGATCCAGGATATAGACTCGGTGCTCGTCAACTAAATGTAACAAGTAATAATAACGTATTAAGTATTAACTGATACCCGTTGCACAAGCAGTAACTCTCTTGGTCCAAGTAATCTGGTGGATAACGCTCTAGCTTTCTAAAATATGGGTACTGGGTTCTAGCCTCAGTGGGAACACCACCACTCACTGGGGATGCGGGCACATCCAGTTGACGAATCCCAAACAGGACGAAACGCACATCCTAGATTCCACTGTTAGTCACCATTCACCAAATTAATTCAAAAATGACGGAAAGTTGTGACTGTGTATCACCCAGCACAGTATTACGATCGCCACATATCGCTGCGACACGTGTGTGGTTTTCGATCACCAGAAGACGAGTTCCGTGTACATCTTAGTCGTATTTCAACACAGTAAAAATATATAAACTGAAGAAATATTGCAATGGTATGCAGAAAAATGCGTTGACGAATAATAGATCCACTACTCTCATAAGATGTATCAATGTACGCATCTATTCACTTTTGTTATACTTTCTGACATCAAAAAACAGATGAATAGTGTAACAGTTCGGTTCTCTAAATGCGTTGGTATGACCTGAAACTTTTTACGGCACTTTAATCCAAAGTGCTTTCTTAGTCCACTTGTTATGCAGGTAACCTGTCGTCTTCATGTTTCCAAAATAGTGCTACTTACAATTAGATATAAGTAGTATATCAGTAAACGAATTCGGAAAAGTAACAGTATGTTTTGGGCTGTAGAAAAAGGTAATCGAAGAAGAGAACTGTCACATGAACGTTAAAAACACTGTGCAGGATCCAAAAAGCTATCGGCTGTGGTTACATTTGACCGGTTTGCAAATGACGTGCAAATAAAGCATTGAAGATGAGGTATACCAAATTTATGTAACTTCAATACGTCTACCCTAATAAACACTCCTTCCAGCCTCATCGACTTTTACTTCTTCACACTCCTAAATCATAAAATAATTCGTTTCGATACGAGATCTATAAAATATAAATGAAATTTTAGCTTAGAGGAATTCTGTAGCAAGTTATCATGTCTGGTCGTTCGTTTAAATGGGAATAACAGTAGAAGGAATAGTGAAAGCCTAATTTATAGGATTACGTACATGGATAGCTACTATGTTCCGTCTACTATTCACACTTGGAAAGGAGTGGACACAATAGATGCACTAGAAAAAGACCCAACAATATACACAGAAAAGGAGAAATACTACTGTTCGATAGTGAATTCGTTGTTCACATGTATAGGCATACAGGAAAGCCCTTTACATAGACAATGGTGAGTTGTTAGCTATACACTCTTTGGTGGATGCAAACCTTAGTAGAGCTCTATAAGTTAAGCTGAACTGGTTGTGTGTAATTTAATGATGTGATATTAATTTTGCCTCAGTTAATCCTATTATAGAACCCGTTGAAAATGATTCGTTTAAAAACATATTTTCCCTTCTCGATAGGTACTTACTCCAATCTACTTTTCACAATGATGTTACTTTTAATCTCAAGCTGTGGTACTTACCAGGCTATCATAACTCCATTGTCTGTGCATAAATGTGGTGGAGGAGACACAAATCTCATGTTGTAGTGATTAGCCACTTCTGTCAATCCAGCTCGAATAACTAAATTAGCTCCAACGCCGCCAGACACGACCTATAAAAAAGAAGTAAACTTAGGCATTCATTTAATGTACAAAGTTTAAGGGGTGATAAATGTGACAGACACTTGATTCTCAAAGTGAATATTCTGTCCAGTATTTCTACTCTATCCCCGGTTTCAGAGGTGAACTCATACATTAGTATGTTAAGAATCTTCAGAATTTAGCTAAATAAAGGCACCTGGGCATCGAAGCACAATGCTATGCTAGTAAGCATATAAGAATGTTTACAATGGTTAAGTCCAGAATTATACTAGGATTTACTATTCATAGTTTCAAACTTTGAAGATCAAAAATACTTCCTGTCTCCAAGAATTTTTTACTTGTAATTACAACTTTTCCAGTTGAACTGAATAGTACCGATACATTTAAGAGCATTTCAACATTTTTGCATAAGATGAAAACCGCACTCATATACGAATGCAAGTTCACACAGTGTTGACATGTGGGAAGGAGGGATTACTTTACACAATCCTGTAACTAATCGTCCACCTTCGTCTTTTCTTCCTCATCATCTGTCTGCACTTCTTGTTGCTTAAAACAGTTTAAATCTAAACGACATGTCTATCAAATGACCTAATGAACACTTTCAGCAGAGTAACACTTATCATCTTAACTTTCATCGTGATTTAATTCAGTCAATTAGGCTCACCATGGTGAACACTGGTGTATGCTAATTGAGTGCAGCTATACTACGTGAAATTCGACAGTATTCAAAACACTCTGGATCAACTCTTTTTTAAATGGAAAGATAACGATCCTAATTCCGTAGGCTCATTTGAAAGTGTGGAGTGAGAAAGTAGTGTCTAACAGTTGTTTACTTGGTCAAATAACAGTATATACAACATTGGAACGTGAAAAGACAAATGAGCATGAAACTGTTGTTCGTTTTATTATAAATGTGATAAACTCACTAAAGCAGTAGGACGAGTTATTTTAACATCGGAAACGTTATCATCACCATCACCTTGCAATATGCAATATTCAACGGCGCGTTGTACACGTCGACAAATAAGACGTGCCATTGCAAACTGAATGGATGCACAAATATCAGCAATATCTTGCATTGCTAGTGTATGTCCACTTCCTAGGAAAATGCGACATAAAATGATGATTTACAGTAGTAAAGGATACAATGAAACCACAATTATCTCGTATTATTCAAATACAAGTAGCCCATTCAACCTAGGTTATACTTTCACGGGGAAAAATCAAAATTCCCTACATCTTGTATTTCATTTGCATACTAAGACAGCAATTTATGTACTCAAGCTTTTGGATCCTACCAACTTATATTAATCAACTTTCTGTCATTATTCTTTGACGTAAAGTAGCAAGTTCCTGTATCATGTAGTCAGCTACACCTGTAATTAATTCTGCAATACTACCTGATTGGTGTTGCTCTAGTATGTGTAAAAAGCATTGGACATGTGAGAGTAATTGTAAGTCAACTCTATAAACCATTAGCAAACAAAAGATTGCAATTATTCAAACTTACATACCACTGGTTGACGATTCCAATTTATCTATTAAATGCTCAGTAAACACATGGATCCCAGTGAACGAGAAATCGCAATCTTTCGATTGTGAACGTGGTAAAGGCAAGTCAAAACGACGATGATTGCCATTGTAAATTCTTGCAACCATTTCAAGAGCTTTTCCACCTGCTACGTTCTTTAATCTTTCATCCCCTAAACGATTCAATCTAAGACGCCTGGAGAGCTGAAACCGTAAACACAAATATTTCAAATGTTTTAATCCAATAGTATTAGGCTCCAAAAAGTCTATGTAAATTGACTCACTAAGGCGAGAGGAATTTGTAACACCTTGACGACATTAAAAGGTAAATACGCATGTTCTCATGGGAATAAAGTCAGAGTTAGCAGAATTAAATTATTGATTGTCTGGTTGTCTTACAGATACATTTTAATTCCACAGCGAGTATTCATTAATACACAGTATTGTATAACTAATGGTAAAATACTGGTGTCTGATTTCACTCGGAAACTCCTAATACTCCCAATGGAACTTATAAATAGGAAATCAGTCTGAAAGCCTTGTTCTCAATGAACAGGATCTTCACAACTTTAGTAGTCGATGAACAAACAAAGTTTGTTCGAAAATGCCATAAGAAAGAGAAGGAAGTCGGATCATAGCCTTAGAGGCTAATACATGACTGCTAAGCTACCTGACTACAATTGTTAACAAACAAGAGTCTTTATGTGATGAAATAAACGAAATGAATTAATCTGAAAATTCACTTAACGGTAACTTGAAAAGGAACTATCAGGATACAGATTAACTAACTCTCTTCACCTTATGTACCGAAACTTATAGCAGTGCTAAAGTAAAGCTCGGGGATTTTGAACTAACACCTGTTTTCTACAGCCGGAAAATTCTGAGTTGAATCTCAAATGAATTGATATTTCGCACAAAATGACACTCTGATGTTTATCAGCATGGCCGGCACAAATTCCGCACTTTCTGCTATTTTCGGCATTATCAGCAATAGTTCAGAGTATACTGAGCTTGTTTCTCAGAGTTATTTCAGCTCTCTTTGCCCCAATTTAGCGATAACTAACCTTATTTCACCATAGCCCACACCACCAGTATTACTGCAGGTTCTTTAAATCACGCAAAATATTCATCCACCATAAAACGACATCATCAACTCACAGTCCACAATTAATTGAGAAGCACTGTAAGCTTCGGTAAGACCATAGTTAAAACACATAAACACATGATAAAAGAATGGCTATAAAACTCACTTTATCAAGAACATCACCTGGAGAGGCATCTAACGCTGTACCTAGCAAAATGTAGTCCTCGACTCCCTGAACAATACCCAAAAGACCATGACCACCGCTAATTAAAAGGATCACGTAGGGGAATTCCAACCTAATATGTAAAGATATATAGGAAAGTCACGGACAATCAAAATATTTGCTATTGTCATTCACGTGAATAAATACATTCATCATATTGAGTGAAATGTGAAATTCAAACACAGTTTCGAAGCAGAATCCTTACAATCCATTCACTAACAATTGCAATCTAAAACTCAAAAAATTAACAATAGAAATGCTCTAGAAAACTCATTTAAAAACTAATCTTAACATTAATTTGAACGGCTTCACATGAGCAAATTCACATACGCTAAATTACATGAAGAGATCATGCTGAACGTAGTATAGAGACACTTAAAAACAGTTTTGAGTATTTTCCGAGAATTTTCGTACTTCTGTGATTTCAACATTCAACTTTATCATGTCAGGTTAATGATTCAAACTTTGTTCATTCCTTCTTTATTGACGGGTTATTATTACATGCTATCGCATCATGTGTACCTGAATATCTGGTTTATAAGTCAAGTAACAAACCTTCTTTTGCAGTACTCAATATAAGTGGGACATGGAAAGGCTAACTGTCGTTGGTCATAAGTGCCTACGTTCTACCTCCCATGTTAAATAGTAATATGGAGTGAGTAATATTGAAGTCATGCGTCGAGTGATAGGTAAGGAGGTAAAGGCTCTCGATGAGGTTGTATAGCTACATGAATTGAGATAATCAGGACATGTGTCACGCACGCCTAGTCATCACCTTGCTCTATGTCTAATGTTAGCTGATATAGGATCAAGTTCGACAACAGCTGGTGGTGGTGGACAAACCAAAACTTGCAATAAGTCCATGAAATCCACGACAGTTTGAGTCACACAGGGAGGTGCAGATTCCTGGTTGGGGTCGTCGGGATGGTAGGTTCCGATCTCAAAGTGATGAAGTGACTCAAAATCGTCCTCAATGGTGTATATGTATTCACTCTTTGTGATCTACAATATGCAAAAAAAACCAAAGTTTCTCTGTCACTATTGTTCCTCCCTCATATATCGAATTAGTATCGTTCTTTCGAATCTCTTCTGTAATCTTTTGTGTGCTACATGGAGTGTGGGAACTTGAACTGGTTTACTTCTGTGCAGTTCTATGTTGAAATCAGTTAGTTAGGTAAACAACAAGGTTACTGTAGGAGATTTGCAATTTTTAATACGCTCAAAGCAATCGTTTTTCAAGGTAAAGATTTTAGTCCGTACTAAAATATATTCACGTATTTCACGTGACAACGTCACTTCCAACTTCTCTCACGCTTCATCTGGTGTCTTTAGAATTAGAGTTAACCGCCAAAAGAGGTACTTATGGAGAGATTACTAAAGCTAAAAAAAAATTTGAGTTAACATGTAGTGAGATCACTACATTCTATATTTAAAACCACAGATATACCTAGATAAGAAAGACTTTAAAACCACACACATTTTGAAAGCCTTACTTGGGATCAGTATGCAGAGCTGTTAGTGCATGAGCTTCCATGTGATCTATTGGTATAATAGGAATCCTACGATAAATAGTCTGCTCCTCAGAGTACAACATACAACATACCTTAGATGTGTGGCCAGAGTCTTCGCAAAATCCACTCCAACTCTCAAAGACAATGACATGCCTGGTTTTACAGTAACACCGACATGGCTCAAGTCCTATTTTGAAATATTATTCAAAGCTCAAATTTGTCAAATACCTGTAACCGAATATTAGACTTACTAACAGCATCGAGAACAACTGACTCAATATGCTTTTTGTGTAGTTCAGCTGCTACGGGTGGTACCACACCTCCTAACCTGCGAAGTACGTACATCAGGTTTTGGTGAAATCTAGTTACATGACACTAGTGCTTGTTTGAGAAGACAGTGAATCTCCCAAAAGTTTGCCAGACGCACTAAAGACTGCTGCACCCGTATCATCGCAACTCGTCTCTATGCCCAGAATATACGAAAATCTACGATGAATAAGCTTGAGTGTGAAAACTAAAATTTCCTCGTTACTCGAATCAAACATGGTAAGTTCCTACTAGCACGAGAAAGCGTTTTTGAAAATACCATAGTGTTTTGCGATGTTCAACAGTCACAAAAGCTGACACTACTTGACACTATACCACCAATTTTGCAAACGATTTAGAGGCAGTTGTAGTTTGTCCCAGAGTCAAGGTTAGGTATTCTGTGTACTGCATAGTTAAAACAATATACAACCTGCTGCAACATCTCCAATGTATAGGAAAAGAAAGCAGCATAAACTGGCTAAGCTGAGTTCCATTTGTTACTGTTACGTTTCTTCTGTCGTCATATACTCTTTCCTGTCACATGATTATTTCGTTTTGTGTGAAAACATCTACCAATGAGTCTGATGTATGAGAGCCTGAGAGCAATTTGCCTTTTTGTTCTTGTTCTATAGGGCAGATGATGTTGCTATCTCTTATTCATATGTAGAATAGATTGGTTGTAAGTAGCCTTAGAAAAAGAACTAAAACGGCGTATTCTCTAGTCACAAGGGTTTCAGCCAGAGGATATGCCATTTCAACGCCCCACCTACGTTACCACAGTCTAGCAATGAAACAGCTTAGGCAATACCAGATGGACATGATACTAAGTCTGTTGTCTTAAACCTGACTTGGTATTCCAATTTAGAACCAAGGATCAGTTTACTTCATAATATTTTACACCCCTTCTTTGCTTTGTTTTTTCTCTTTTTATCTTTCATACCTACACCTTTGCGTCTCCCTACCCATTATTTGTGACTCTGACATGTGCACAGGCTGACCTGCGTCGTAATTGTTCATGTCTTCTGGCCTTCCATAAAACTGTATATGACAAATACGTGTATGATCAGAATGTCCCGAATGTGTTGCGCCAGTACATCACACGTTTCAGATAAACTACGTCTTATTATGTTGCCGAAACTCATAAAGGAAACTAATTGCTTGAAATATTATGATTTTATGCTAAATAACCTGTTGCTGTGGTTCTGGTACATCTGTCCATTTTGTGTCCTGGCACAGTCTCACAGAGCGTGGCTGCTAATAACAGAAACAGCACGCCAATTTGTGTATCTACACAGTCTCATTTGGCCCTCCACCTGATAACACTACACCGTCAAAACCTGGTAAAAACCGTGAGAGGGATACTCCGGCTGTTCCTTGGTAAGTCCCTAAAGTGAGTGATAGACAATTCTGTTAATATACGTATGTTGAAAGTGAACTAAAATAAGGACGGGTTCTGTAGAAATGAGCCTTGTATTCTATCCTTCTTGGAAATATCAGTTCCCCCATAGTTTAGTTTCAGTATTAAGTGAATGTAATGCAATCTACATATTCATGAAATTCACATACTGACGTTTAGCTTTTCCAGAATACTAGTTAATGTCTCCTCAGTAAAGTGAGAAATGGGTTTTGTACTTGTGTAAACCCAATAGGCTATGTAATGATGCCAGTGAAAACGATAAAAATTCTTGGAATTACCAGTTATAATTTTAGCTTGATCGCATGCAGAATTCAGCAGTTATCAAATGGCCACTTGTTGAACGTTGAATTCATATAGGAAGCGCAGAAGATCTAGTACAACATGCGCACTCCTGCTTTCACTATGTAGCACTGATGCCAAATACATTACTTTAGGGGCCTACACAGTTCACAAAGTAACTCCAAACACTGAAGTGGAAAAACATATTTGTCCTTACTGAGCTTAATAGAGCGAATCTTGTGAAGTAACTTTCTTATTCAGAAGAGAAGAGCAAGGTATTCATAATCTTTTATTACATGTGGAATTGCAGCGCAACTCGGAGCGCAATATATACGAATAGACTGAAATATAAAGTCCTCTTTGCCTTCTGAACAAATTTTACTTATTCCGGGACAATACTTTCTTTCACCTATGAGCCTCAGTTACGTCTATGAAATCGCAATATAACATCAATGAAATCTTCCTCAAAGCCAAGGCCACTTGAAAAACATAGCAATATTACAACGGACATCGTAGCGGGGATATGCAATAAAGCCACTCCGGGCCAACCGACTGGGAGTATCGACCTTCACAAACCGAAGACTCCGAAGGTTACAAAGCATATGTATACTTCAAATGGGCACGGAGACTCTGTAGAATACGCCATAATCCAAATCACTGCCAATACAGCGCCAATAAACCTGGATATCTCTGATATAACGAAAACATGCTGAAAGCTGCATCTCAGATCAAGTTGATTCATTCGATGGTAATGATCTGCTCCTGTAGGCCTTATTCGACATATTGAATGGAATGGTCCGCGGTTATTCTGATACCAGATCGAAAAGAATAAAAAATTCACCGGTTGCTGAATCAAAAGTACTTCTCTGCATGTTTAACTGTATTCTAACTGCTATGATTAATCTCAAACCTTTTATCTCATAATCAATCAAATTCAGAGTCAAATTCCAGGAACGATCCAATTCTACCATTTGAAGACGCTGGCGAACATGCTGTAAATGAGTATTCATGATCTGAAATGAAGAAGCAACTGGTTTTCAAATAGTTTTTCAACATTTTACTCAACTTACGAGTACAGTCCGCCATGCAGACACAAATGGCGCAAATAGAGAATTCCGGAGTCGACCTCGGCACCATTCGATGCAGTAAAACAACCCAACATGACCTTATCTAGTTTTCGCATCCACCATCAAATTTCTTTCCTGTTATGAAACTACGATAAGACTGCTGAAAAATGGAATAAATATATCACTGATCTCAACATAATACATCAATAATCTTTAAGCCAAGGGTGTTCTTCACGACAAAGTTATATAGGAGAATTGACTTCAAGCTTTATTTTTCCCAGATATCTGTTTTACATTCATCTGATGTCTGGGTTTTTTGTTAATGCGGAGACAATATTTCTATATCTCTTTATATGCTACATAAGCAGACTTTATAGCAGACTGTTCCGACTGGCTCTAATGTCAGAAAGAACATCCAAACTGTAAATCCATTATACATCAAATTATGTGCAATTTATATAACAACTTATCCATGCCTGTACAACAGGTATGTTCCTGAATAAACAAGAAGGAATATATTATTATTAAAACAATATTTATGCATGCCTATACAATTGGTGTACCCTACATAGCTAGGGAAAATAATGTACCTTATTATATTATCTTTACTAAATATGCTTATTAATATTATGTGTAACTTATCGAATTGACGATGCCTGTAAACTGGCGTCCCTCATGTAAAAAATGAGAATATATATTATTATTATCATTATTATTACACCTCAAACTGCGAGGGAAGATGGAATTGCCACAGCGCCATGTGCACCCACCAGGGGGCATCGCAACATGGCAACGACTGTTCAGAACCTGATGAAATCTAAAGTGACTGATCCTACAAAGAAGAACAAGCAGCGAAAAGCACACTTAACCTTGAGGTTGTTCGATCAAGTTCCCATGTCCTGGTTAATGTATCCGTCTGCAGTGGTAGTGTGATTGAACTACGGTCTTGTTTGATCAGGAGCAGTGGTCTACTTCACGCTATAAATTAGGTCTGAACAACAACAATATCATACGGTCCGCACACGCGTGTTCAGGCACCTTAGGGCAAGCCATCTCCACCCCGCATAGTTAAACTGGGCTCTCCCGAAGGGGCTGAAAAGATGATATTATTGGATGAGATACTCGCTATCGAAAGAAGTTACAGCATAAGTGTCAAAAATGATGAACAATGGACTAACAGGTAAATGGTGAGAGAGTAACCGGAAATGACGCCGACTATGTCTGTGATCACAAACCGTCAATGTCCATGTCTTACTACACTGGACCTCACGCTGTCCTTGGAAGACTTCCAGAAACTATGCGTAATAACCAACGCGAAAAACCAGAACGCAGATTGGCGACTCGAGAATCCTTTATTCTTACGCCAATATGTAACCAGCAATAAGGTCATTATACACAAGGTCTAAGAATGAATGTTTTAACAATAAATCACGATTATACTTCCTATAGTTTTCTCTCTTCTATCGAACGGAAAACGATGAGACGATGACTGTTGGATTGATGACTCCCGCGGAAATTATGGAGGAGTCGGGTTTGAGCAAACAACCATGAATTGATCGTTCAATCTTCAACTACACTGACATACACTGTGTTCCGGTGTTGGAATATGACACTGGTTGTAGAAGACGCATTAATGATGCACATCTCCTGAGACGGTTGTCATCTCAGATGGCCCTTGTTGCTTCTGGATTAATCTCGATTTTCCGGCTACCTCACCCTGCTCATCTCAAAATGACTACCTCCCAGGAAGAGTTGACCCTAGTAATTCAACAGTGGTACTGGAACAAGGGTAAAATGGTAGGACACATTCGATGCTGCGAAAGCAGACCTTGAACCACAAGGAGGCAGCTAACCGGAGTCACAATACGCCCAAAGTCCCATTGACACTACAGCGATGTAGCACTGAGAATAACACTCACTATCGCCTAAGTGTCTTACTCGAAGAAGAGGGAAAAAGGACAAAGAGAAGGTTGCATCGGAATCGGCCGACTAGTTCCAATATTAAGTCCTCCGCTAGCAGACGACGAAAAATCGGCTACCCCACAAAACGCTGAGGGTGGGAGACTCACTGTCAGCGGCCTGTATAGCAATGTGAGGGGGCTGAGAAAGAAAGTAGGTGAATTCAAAACATTCCAGTCACACCTACACCTTAAAACAATCAGCCCTACTGGAACGTGGCTAACCCCTATTATCATCGACAGTGGAATCAGTAAAAATGGTATAGTTCAGGTCAGAATATCCAAGGATATCAAGGAAGGAGGAAGTAACCATGTACTTCGACAAGCAACTTGCACGTGTGCGTGCAATGGACCCACCAATTAATGAACTATCAGACTCCATATAGTGTGATTTCACCGTAGGTTACGCCAAGTACCTAATAACAATAATAATAATGTATACTGGGTGTTATCTACTGATCGCCCACCTGTGGGGCAGAGCACAACCAGCTCAGCGTCATCACAGGGATGTGGGACCTGGGTTATGAATAAATCGGTATAGCTGGAGATTTCAATGCCCCATCCCTGAACTTTGGCCCCGGGTATGCTCAGAGAAAATTCGGTCAAGATCCACTGCAAACCATTAGAAATACGCAACTGACTGAGGGTGTTGGAAAAGACACTAGGTAGGGC